TTTAATCAACAAATACATTTAAAAAAAATAGCCTCAAAAGATAGCTAAAACATGCAAAACTATTAAGTTAGTGCATTAAAGTCAAGAACAAACATATAAAATAAACTTAAAGAATGATGCAAATTAAAAATGTATAAATTATGCACTTATCCCTCCAACCATACAAGTGAAACAACCCATAAGATTATTAATTTACAATTCCGTGCAAAATAATTGAGGTGTGTGTATAGTTTCTAAAGTATCGATCGACATTGATGTTGCTTGTACTCCTAGAACTCTAAAGTGATTTAAATAGATTTTTACTTGTACTCAATTCTATTAAAACGTATATATCCAGAGCAAACCAAACTATTTCTTACAGATTTTTTAACTTATATTTGGTATATAAGTAGCACGCACTGATATTGATGAACACCTTATATTAAGATATATACCTCAATTTGATAAAAGCATAGGCAATGTAATACTAGCTTAACATATAGTTAAGTAGTAGCTCTTGGTTAAAGCAAAACAGCTTATCCTATTTTTGTATCTCCGGACATTCTTGGAGGATCACGGGACACACGAGATGTTTTGGTTTTAACGTCTTTCAGAAGCAAAGCTACATTTCAATTCAGTTAGAAGTGCCGTTGGGGTCATTTATGAATTGAAGAGGAACTACAAGTTTGACACAAAAGCTGTAAACGTCGCATTCGGGTATACATACATTTGCATAAACAGCGACCGTTGCTCTGTTTACAGCCTGGATACTGATATGGGTCTGGCCCATTTCAACCACTGGGCCCTGCTTTTAAGCCCAATTTCATTCCTCTTCTCAAGTGTTTCAGCGTTTATAGAGTGAAATCATATTTCCAAATTTTTGTGGGCAATTTAATTTACCCACTCTTTAAAATAAGAAATTTAATGAATAATATTTTACAATGTTAATCATAAAAACTTCTAAGGCTAAAATTTTCAAATAAAAACAATTTCTCTACTCATTTAATATTAATTTTAGCCATGAATTTTTTTTTAAAATTAATCTATAAAATGTTTAAATTTGATTGGTTAAAATATTACGTGGTTTTTTTTTTTTTTTTTTTTTTTGGTTTGAAATCCAATTAAGTGACTTAATATTTCAGTAGCATACAATTCTAATTCAATTTGGTGAATTACACAAATGAGAAGTAAATACCGAAGAGCTTTCAACTCCTGCTGCCCATTGGTTATTGGGTCATGTGAAAGGTCTAAGACTTTTAACATGGCAAATTAGTACGTGGACCATGGTCCACATAGTGTTGTATAAACCATATAAAAAAGAATTATATTACATGTACTCTCAAATTTTACTACATCACTTGTATTTCATGACATGGCAAACAAAGATTGGCTATTTTCATTATGTGGTCCCAGAAAATTTGTCTACATCAAGAATTCGTGAGAGGGAGTACAAGTTGAGAGTAAGAAATGAGAAAGCATGTAGTATTTTCTATAAAAAAAAAAGTACATTCTTAATATACTAAAAGTACATTATTTGTGTTGAATGTACATTTTTAAAATAATGTACTTTTATTATTCAAATAATGTACTTTCCCTTAATACGAACGCTCTGTTTGGCAGAGCTTATTTAGGAGCTTATAGCTTATTTTAAGCTACTAATAAGCTATAAGCTCTGTTAGGTAGCGTTTCAAAATAAGCTCCTAGCTTCCTACCTTTTTTTCTATCTTTATCCTTATTATTTTAAAGAAATGACATAATTTACCCTTCCCAATTAAAACTCTTTTCTCTTCTCCTTTATCCGCAACTTTCACCGCAAATATTATAATAATAATAATAATAATAATAATAATTATTATTATTATTATTATTATTATTATTATTATTATTATTATTATTATTATTATTATTATGAGATTTGCAACAATATTGCTACTTCATTATGATATGCTAGATCATGATTATGCTAATAATTTTATTTCAAAATGTTAATGTTAATTTTTTTAAAGATAAAATGTTAAATTTTAATATGTAAACAAACTAATTTAAATTTTATGAAAGTGTCCTTTTTAGTCTTTTTACATTTATCAGCTTATCAAAAAGCTAATTTTTCTAAACACTTTCAATCATAACAGCTAGCTTAACAGTTCTTCAGTTTTCAGCTCCGAACTTATAGCTTTTCAGCTTTCAGCTCCTTTTCAGCTTTCAGCTCATTTTCAGCTTTCAGCTCCTAGCTCCTAGCTTTTCAGCTAGGTTTGCCAAACAGAGCCGAAGTACATTTTTAAATATATTAAAAGTACATTATTTGTGTACTAAATGTATATTATTTTATAATATACAAAATATGGTCCACACAAATATATTGTATATTATAACATAATGTACATTTAAAACACAATAATGTACTCTTAGTATATTAAAAATATACTTTATATTCAGAAAAAATACATTACTTTATATAATGTACATTCAGTATACAAATAATGTACTTTTAGTACATTAAAAATGTACTATTTTTATGATCCATACAACACTTATGTCGACCATGGTCCATACAATAATTTGCCTTTGCACCGGGGTAGATTCAATCATAACTTTTTTAAACTTTTAAATATTTTTAAAACAAGAGATGTTAATAAATTTTTAGGCCCCGTTTGATTTGTGGAAAATACTTGAGGGGAAATGGAAAAGAAATTCCATGGAAAAGAAATTACTGGGAAGATTAATTACACTGTTAGGTTCGTAGAAAATAAATTACTGAGAATATCGATTCCATTGTTTGGTTGAGTTTGGAATTGTAAGGAATAATTAGTATAAAAACAATTATACCCCTACATGATAACAACAACAACAACAACAATAATGGTAATTAAGAAAAGTTGGTAAGAGCATAATTGTCTTACTTGTTTTCCACAGAAAACAAAATAGCAGGGATACCATGAATAATATTTTCCATGAACCAAACAAAGAAAAATTCAATTTTCTTCAAATTCAAGGAAAACATTTTTCATGACTTCAAATACTAATGACGGTTACTGTTATAGAGTCTTTTAAACTTTTGTAAATTTTGTAAGAATATATATAAAAGTTTATATAAAAAACATTCATAGAGTTTTATAAACATTTTTTATTTTAAAAAAATTATTAAAATTCTAAATTAAATATATCCTTATAAACTTTCAATGACTTTGATTCTTTTATTTATAATTTTCTTTAAAAATGGAATAATATATCATAAAATTCTTCTTTTAGTTCTTTTCACATCAACACTCCCAACTTTATTATTTGTATCCTTAGTACTATTTCATATGAAAGTTAACAAAAATATTGAATATAACAAATTTATATTAACAAAACTGTTGATATAAAATATTTTAAAATATATCTACTAGTTGCATAAAATAAAAAATTTTAAAATTTAAAATATAATATTAATAATATATAAAAGAAATATACATTGTTTGTATTACTAGGTCATCAAGCAAAAGAACTATGGTTCACAAGGTGATATTGTTGGTAGTCCCAAGTGCTTGGAGTTGCGAGCAATGGTCCGCTGTTCAAAAAAAAGGAAAAATTATATTACAAATATAAATACAAAAAGAATAAAAATTGAAATATACAAGTATTTATATGAATATTATGAAAGAGATAATAAAATTTGATAGTGATAAGAAAAAGTTTGTTTTGTTTAGTTATTTAGGGAGAAAATTTGTAGAAAAAAAAAACTGAAAAAGTTTAGAAGTAAAGGAGAGAAAAAATTTGTAGAGAAAAAGTTTAGAAGTAAAGTTAAAGAAAAAAAATTAATAGAGAAAGTTCAACTTAAGATTGGATGGATGAATTTTAATTATTTATAAATTATTATACTAGAGACTAGAGAAGGAAAAAATATACAAAAGTAATTTGATAGATTCTATAAAAATGTGTTACTTTTTAAATATCTGGACTTTTAAAAGTTTTTGACAAGGACTTTTACTGCAAAGTCCAAACTGGAAGGTCAGAAGTAATTACAACTTTTCAACTTCTGATGTCCCTTAGATACTCGTGCAATGCAATTAGGAAATGGGTTAAATATCTAGCTTAGCTTCCTGCCAGACCCAGGCTCTGTCCATCATCATTTTTTCTGCAGGTTTCAGTGAATTAAACTCAGTTCTGTGCTAGCTGAAATCCCATGGCAGCCAAACAAAAATCCAAAGTTTCCTTGAAGCTCCTGATAGATGCGAAGACAAATCGAGTAGTTGCTGCCGAAGCAGGAAAGGACATGGTGGATAAACTCTTCAGCTTCCTCACCTTGCCTATGGCAACTATTATCAGGGTCACTAACAACATCACCATTGGTTGTATGAACAATTTGTACCATAGCATTCAAAGTATAGACCCAGAGCATTGGCACACAGTACATTGCAAAACCATGGTTCTGAATCCAAGAAATCCACTTGCCAACTACTGCAACAAGTTGAAAATCAACGTTGATATATGATTCTGGGTCCGAGAAGAAGTACGGGTGTTTTTCTACTTATGGCTGCAAGTATTTTAGCATGTACCAAAATGTGAAATGCAATTATTGTCTTAATGGGTGTACTGCGCGCCATAGAAATGAAGTCTGATGATTCAGGGTCTGTGATGAATTGCAGTTATGAGGGTGTGTTTTTGCAGAAAGGGTGGCCAGTGATGATTTACAAATCAGACCTGCTTCTCCAAATGTTCTTGCTCAACTCCTATCTTTTCTGGGTTTAAGTGAAATGAATCAAATCAAGGAGATACCGGTAGAAGTTAGCAAGGAGCAGGTACCTACACTATAACACTATTACTTTGCTTCGTCTGATTTTAGAAAATATGAAGCTACCGTTATGACGATATATTTTCCCGGCCTTCATTTGCAGGTTATCTGTCTGCTTGCACGTTCATTTGTTTCAAAGTCTCCTCTAACTGATGTCTTTCTACCTAATCATGGTGCTACCAGCATTCACGCTAAACCTGAGATAATATTGCCACCCTCAATTGGTATAATTGAGACAACTAACTGATCAAAATACTCCCATCACTGTGAATCTTAATGTGAAAGTAAACAAGCATACCAACGATATACTGTTTGCTGAAGCCACAAATGACTTCTTTGATTTCCTTTGTAGCTTTTTAACCATTCCTATTGGGACAATGGTTTCCGTTCTAAGGGGAAATTCAGGTTTAGGATGCATTGACAACTTGTACGCAAGTTTGGCAGAGTTGGACGTCAAATGGTTTGGTTCGGCGTCCGTTAAATCTGACATACTTGTCCCTGGGATTGCCACGCATCATAACTGCAGAATGCAGCCTCTCAATTTGTTTGAACGAAAGCGGGAAGATTATATGCTTAACTCTAAAACCAATGACCATTCTAATTTTTCTGTGGAACCATCTATATTCATGGTTTCACGCGATTTTGAAGTGAAGCCTCTGTGCTTTGCATCTAGTTTTGTTGTATTGAGGGATGCAAAAGTGCCTTTAAGTGATACTGAAGATCGAGAGGTCACCGTCGGTATGAAAGAGGTAATTAATCCGAGCCTCTTCATATTTGATTTAAGATACGTTGACCCATTTACATATGTATACATTTAACTATTAAATTTACAGTTAGTTTTTTCTCTTGTGACAGGCACTGTGCTTATTGAAGGCGGCTCTTACATCGCCATCATCAGCTCTATCCGATGGCTTGAACACCTTTGTGCAGAAGCAGAAGGCATAGTAGTAAATGCGGGCTTTGAACGTCTAGGATTTGTTAAATTATATTTGAAGTTGTCTTTGCATTTTGGTTATTTAAAGTGGACGTTTTCTATTTCTATGATCGATTTTAAGTTTACAATTTCAATACAGTAGTTGGTTTGATGTATTTGAGGCCATTATTTGGTAATCTCATTGATTAATTGGTAATATGAAATGTATTTTCATTTGGTTCTAATATTGATAATTAATAATGTATTTTTAAAGATAAAAAAATAATTATGATTTTATAAGAAAACCCTAACCCTAATCAATGATAAGAGGCAATGTGCCACCTTCTTGTTTAATTTGGAAGTAGGTGACCCAACATCACTTCTTCGATCTGATTGTATAGCAGGGAATAAGGGTCGTATCTCATTAGTCATTAGTAATATATTTATGAAATATATTCTAATATTTAGTTAGATTAAGAAATATTGGCAACAAAGTCAAAGTTCATGTACTAATAGTAATAGTTCATTTTATCATTTAGCACCCTAAATTAAAATATGGTCTATTTAGGCTATTATTTTTCATCTAGTATTTTTAGAAGTTTCTAACAAGTAATTCATCTAATTTGATGACATGAAAAAATAAAATAAAAACAAAATGGTGACATGTTATTTTTTCATCTAACTTGTTTTTTTTTTTGTCATTTTTTTTTTTTGCAGAAAAATTCAATATTTTTAACATATTTCCGGATTATGTTTTTCAACTCCTTTGTTGCGAGTGTTTAATATGAAAACACACAGGGATAATCAAAGCGGAATGCATCCATATATGATGTTGTTACCATAAATTTGTCTGTAACGATGAGACGATGTAATTCAGGCAGTTTGGGCGGGATTAGGTGCTGTGGTGGTTGTCGTTGCCGCAGTAGCACCGGAAGCCAGGGTGACGGAGATAGTCTCCGGAGGGCACGGGAGACTGCCGTCGATGTATCCCAGAAGTCCTTGACTACCGAGAAAGGGGAGGAGTTGAGTCCTCCAGAAGAGATAGTTGCGCGTAGTTAGCTTCATAGATACAAAATGATGCGCAGCTGAAAGGAGATTTGGAGTCGCCAGCACAGTGGGTGCGGCGGGGATGATCGTTCGCTCAGCTGAATTCAAAGTCATCATGAGTAGTTTTGTGAGAGAGAGAGAAAGCGGAAAACGAATAGGAAAGATGATCGCAGTCCTATCGCAACTAATACCAGAGGAGACGATGTGATTCAAATTCAAAAGGAATTGATTGATCAAATTACAGAGAGAGAGAATCATAGAGTCCTATAGGAGAATTAACAGAAGACTCTCTTACTATTCATGCTAGGACTATTGACTACATTACAACCAATAATATTAAAGCATATAATATACACATGAAATATTAATATTGCTAACAGTAACAACGTATATTTTTATCGTGGAGCGGTACCTCATCGCCTTCAGAAATATGGCCGCTTCCCTCGGGGACATTAGGCAGCTTCCAAGCAGTGAGAGAAGGGGCAGCCATGATTCTTAGGACTCAAGGGGATTCAACATGTTCAGGAAACATTGTGGATACAATCCGCAGCGTGAGGAAAGTATGGGGGACATTAGAGTCCTCAACAACATGGATGAAGATGAGATTCTTAGTACTTAAATAATGTGCTTTTATTTGTGGTTCATAAAATAATCTCTCATCGCACTTGTGTGCACTACGGTTGGACCATATATGGGTCGTGGCAAGGCAAATAGATCTACGACCAAGTTACAAATGAGCGAATCACGACATTTCCCGCCAGACTACGACAAACCTAGTGCAATATCGCAACAACTAAAAAATAATTAATAATTTCAAAAGATATGAGAATAGTGCAAATAAAATGATATTTTTTATAAATATTATTTTGTTTTAAATATATATATAAATATTAATTACTAAAAAAGTATTACACAAAATTAAAAATAATTGCTTGCAAGTAGAGATACTAATGGGCCAGCTTGTTCGGTTTAGGCTAATCTTATTGCGTTTTGAACTTATATGGCGGATTCAACTAAAACTTGTCACATTTTCAAATTAACATTCTAAATTTTTAATCTTGATATATAATGTATTTACAGTAATAAATATAAACTTCAATTTCTAAATTTTAACAAAAAATAATTAATATGTTTATACTATAATGTAATAATTAAAATAATTTATTTATTTATTCCGTATTATTTACTTTCATACAATATGTTTTATTTTGTAATAAATTTATTAAAATTTTACTGATTTAATATAAATTACAAAGGATGAACATATATATAAATTCTATTTATATATTTTTTTCCACATTCTTTGTGAAACAAAAAATAATCTTAGTTTGCTTGAGCTAAGCTATCCCACTAAATTTTGGATCTCGTTCAAACTATCAGTCCGCTCCTTCTCCTGATTTGTTGCTAGGGTTTTGTATCGGTCTTCCTGCCCGGTTCAGGCTCTGTTCTTCATACTTTCAGTCATCTCCTTATCAGTTGAGTGTTTGCGGAGATCACATTGCATTTAACATGGCTGCCAAGCAAGAATCCAGTGTTTCCTTGAAGCTCTTGATAGATGACGAGACTGATCAATTAGTTGTTGCCGAAGCACCGACGGAATTTGTGGATATACTTTTCAGCTTCCTCGCCTTTCCGATGGGAACGATAATCCGAATCACCAGCAGTGCACAGGTTAAGAACCCGGTCGCAATTGGGTGTATGAACAATTTGTACCAAAGCATTCAAAACCTAAGCTCAGAGTACTGGGACGCAGAACATTGCAAACTCATGGTGCTGAATCCAAGAAATCCACTCGCTTGTTTCACCAAAAAATTGAAAATGGACATTGATGATTCAGGGTCCGAGATGAACTACGGGTGTTCTTGTCTGAACTGCCACTATTATAGCTACTACCAAAACGTTTGCTGCAGTTGTAAATGTGGGCGGGTAACCAGAGAAATAAAGCCTGAGATGAATTGCAGTTATGAGGGTGCGTTTTTGCAGAAAGGGAGGATAATGTTCTTAATCACTGATGATTTACAAGTCGGACCTGCTTCTCCGGACATTATTGCTCAGTTTCAATCCAATTTTGATTTAAGCGAAATGAACCAAATCAGGGAGATAACGATAGAAGTTAGCAAGGAGCAGGTACATGAATTACTTTTTTTTTTTTTTTTTTTGAAAATTTGCAAATATGATTAGAAATCTTTCCAACTTTTGGGTGACTCACTCGTCACTACTTCACAGTGTACGGTATAAATCACTCCTTGTGACATTAGTCGGTAAAAGGTAAAAAAGGAATAAATATTCTATAGCTGAGTTGCTCAAACTAAAGACTAATTGACATTTTATTTTCGAACTTGTAACATTGTAATTATCAAAAGGAGTAAACCAATGCTCAAACCAAGAAGGTTAATTGGTCGCTCCTGTTTGAACTTGTAACATTGTGATTACAAAATCAAGAGTCTGAGCATCATTGCTAGGATGGCCCTAGCTTTCCATCTTTTGGGTGATGAGGGAAACACCACTAATTGAGGATGTACATTGCACTGGATAAATCACCTTTTGTGACCCTAACCTCTTAAGGATCAAGAGAAGTAAACATGTCTAGGTTGATAGGCGGCTCCTGATTATGGTTGTCAAAAGGAGTAAACCGATTTAGGTTGACTATAACTAACGGGCTCAAACCAACAAGATCAATTGGTCGTTCATGTTCGAACTTGTATATGATTACCAAAAGGAGTAAACCAGTCTAGGTTGATTATAGCTAACATTCTCAAACTAAGAAGACCAATTGCTGCTCCTATTTAAACTTGTAATATTGTGGTTACCAAATCAACCGTCTGAACAACTTAACTGGGGTTGTCCCAACTTTCCACCTTCGTTTGCAGGTAATTTGTCTACTTGCACGTTCATTCGTTTCGAAGACTCCTCTAAGTGATGTATTTCGGCCCAACCAACAGGCTAAACCTGAGACAACATTATTCTCATCCCCAGTTAGTGAGATTCAGACAACTGACCAAGGTGCCCCCTCTTTGAATCTTAAAGTAAAAGTAAACAAGCATACCAACAAGATACTGTATGCTGAAGCCACAGATGAGTTCTTTGATTTCCTGTGTAGCTTTCTAACCCTTCCTCTTGGAACAATGCTGCGCATTCTGAAAGAAAATTCTGGGTTAGCAGGATGCCTTCATAACTTGTACTCAAGTGTGGAGAAGTTGGATGGCATATGGTTTCGAAGTGGCAGTAAGGCTTTCATACTTGACCCTTCGTTTGCGCCGCATCATAACTGCATGAAACAACCTCTGAAATTGTTGGAACGAAGAGGGGATTATAATCTGATTAACCCCAGGCCAAGAAACAGATTTTCATTGGAACCATCTCTGTTCCTAGTTTCATGCGATTTGGAAGTGATGCCTGTGTCTTTGGCATCTAGTTGTCACATACTCAGGGAACTAGAAGTGCCTTTCAGTGATATTAAAGAACAAGTGGTCGCTGTCGGTATGAAAGAGGTAATCAAATCGTGATACATATATGCGTATATGTGTATGTGCCTATGCATATTTCCATTACCATTTCGATTTCAATGTTTGAACCAAATACACCCTTAATTTTTACTCTTGCTTGCAGGGATTGAGCTTATTGAAGGCCGCTCTTACATCGCCGTCATCGGCTCTAACCAATGGCTTAAGCTCCTTCTTGCAGAAGCAGAAAGCATAGTTTCAGATCCCATGAAAATCTTAGGACTTCATAGATTCCCAAGTTAAATTCTATGTGCATTATGTAGTTTTAACACAATGTTTTTTTGGCAATTTCTTCTCCTCCTCGCAATACATAGTCTTTTTTAGACATGCAGGAGCATCAATAAAAAATTCTTATAAAAACTCTCATACATATGTTACTTGATTATTATTACAAGGTTCTAGTCTTCTAGACGAGTAATTAATACAGTTGTTAAACAATTTTGAAACTTTTTCACTCTGTTATGTCATAACAATACACATATTTCGCGACAGGCCGGTAAAATACAAATGAAAGGTACACTTTTTTAAAAAAAAAATGTGAGTTTTCAATTAAAAAGTTAAAATAAATAAATATTAAAATGAATACACATCATTCATTGATCGGATATAATTGTATTTTACATACTAATAACAAATTAACAAAATATATCACATCTTCTCTCTTTCTTTCTTTCTTTCTTTTTTTTTTTTAAAAAAAAAAAAATTAAACGAATTTATTATTATTATTTATTTATTTGAAAAAATGCCATCAGCATCTTACCTGCTATTCAGGTAATTAATTTGTTGTTGGATCTTAATGTAAGAAAATAATAACAACTTGATAGGTGATACATGTAATCTTTGCACTTTTGGTCCCACGATTATGGTGTCACTAGCAATTTTGATCCACGACTTTTAAAACTTGCAGAATTAGTCCACAACTATTACTTTCTTAGCGAATTTGGTCCTTCCGGTGCATTCTTCGTTCAATTTTAGCCCGAATTTTTTCCTCCCTTTTTAGCGTGGGTAATATTGTCTTTTCCATCTCACTGTGATTGCAGAATTGGTTAAATTAGAGGTGTCTATAATTCAGCGAGTGAATTAGTCAATGTGTTCGACGTTAATTAATTAAATGTTTAAATTAATAGTTAAATTGTATACGTAATTTGTGTATTATGTGTTTAAGTATATTTTATCTTGAACATGCTGACGGGCGATAAAGATGCGAAAGTGAACATTGCACGTTGTTTATTCAATTATGACCGCTGCGAAAAATAAATAAATCGCTAAATGCATCTTAAGCAATCAATTTTATAATATTGTTAAATAAAAGAAGAAATTAAAAAAAATGAAAGGGTAAAATACACTTTTACTGATGGTGAGATGGAAAAAGACAATATTACCCACATTGAAAAAGTAAAAAAAAAATTTGGCTAAAATTGAACAGAGAAGGAAGGACCAAATTTGCTAAGAAAGTAATAGTCGTGGACCAATTCTGCAAGTTTTGAAAGTTGTGGATCAAAATTGTTAGCGACACCATAGTCGTGGGACCAGAAGTGCAAATAACTCGGTGATACAGAACAACAAAGGAAAAGGTAATTGAAAAGGAAAACGCTCAAACTCAAAATTTCATATAGGCCCTGTTTGGTAAATGGCTTTTAGCTGATAGCTATTAGCTGTTAGTTGATTGTGTTAATTAGATGGTATAACTAGTTGATAACATTAGTTGTTGTAGAAAAGTGTTTGGTAAATTAACTGTTAGCTGATCATGATAGCTGTTTGGTATAATTTTTTTTTTTTTTAAAAAGCTAATTGAAAAAGTTGTTTGGAATAGCTTTTTGAATTTTAGCATTTTAGAGTTGCAAAAAGCTAATTAACTAAACACTTATATTGATATGTTAACTAAATCAAACAATTAATAGTGGTCAAATAAGCCGAAATTGGCCTATAGACTAATTTTTTACCAAATAGGGCCTATAATATTTCATATGCCCTTCCCATCCAATCGTTATGCTATGGACCCGTATCCAGCATGGTAACGGTGCCGTTAGTGGCACCGTTATCTTCCACTTTTCTTTTTTTTTTTTTAAATTTCAGACCACTTTGTTATAGGAGTATATGTTCATAATTTTATCACTATATGTTCATAATTGTAAGTTCATAATGTCAGAGTTCTGTGTTCATAATTTCATAACTGTACATTCATAATTGCATAATTATACATTCATAATTCCGTAACTGTACATTCATAATTCAATAACTGTAAATTCATAATTTTCGAAACTCTATGTTCACAATTTTAGAGCTCTATGTTCATAATTTTATCACTATATGTTCATAATGTCAGAGCTCTGTCTTCATAATTCCATAACCATACATTCATAATTCCATAACCATACATTCATAATTCCATAACTATACATTCATCCACAAATGAATAACGCCGTTAACACCGAGACAAAATTAATTTTTTTTTTTTAACTAGAAGGCCACGTTTCTCCTTAAAACGACGTCGTTTTGGACTCGTGTCCACAATGCGAATCCACAGCATAATTTACTAGAATTAAAAGCTTGTAAATGAGGAGGCAGAAAATTAAAGCAAAATACGTGAACCAAGAATAATTAAAGATAGCCCTAAGTTCCCAAGTCTTCCAGCCGACAACCATTGAGTTTCCTCCATACATCTTGATAAAATTAAATGGGAGCAGATTAAATATGTTCCTTCCAGACTTTAATTTGATTCTGTTATAGCTGATACTGCACCACGCCAATCATCTTGTTTTGTGTATAGAATCGGTTCAGTGTTTGCGGAGATCCGATTACTCATAACATAGACATGGGCAACATGTTGGCCAAGCAGCAAGAATCGCCACTTTCCTTGAAGCTGTTGATAGATGAGAAGATGAATCGAGTAGTTGCTGCAGAAGCAGAAAAGGACTTCGTGGATATACTTTTCAGCTTCCTTACCTTCCCCATGGGAACGATAATCCGGGTCACCAGCCGTGAACCGCTGAAAATCCCTGTCACTATTGGTTGTATGACCAATTTGTACCGTAGCATCCAAAATAGCCCAGTAAATTGGAACACAGAACTCTGCAAAACCATGGTGCTCAACCCAAGAAATTCATGTGCGATCTATTGCAGCAAGTTGAAAATGAACATTGATGACTCAGAGTCGGAGAAGAAGTACGTTTGTTCTGGGCAGGGTTGCCCGTATTATAGCAAGTACCAAAATGTTAGCTGCGAGTGTTCTAACGGGGAGACTACCAAAGAAATGAAGTCTGGTGGTGCGTTTTTGCAGAAAGCTGGGCCGATAATGTTTTTAATCAGTGATAAGAGCTTTGCAAGGAAATTTGGGGTTAGGATGCATTGATAACTTATACACAAGTGTGAAAGACTTGGACGAAAAATGGTTTGGTTCGGGTGCTAAGGACATCATTCTTGACCCTCGGATTGCGCAGCATCATAATTGCAGGAAGCAACCCCTCAAATTTCCGGTTCGTATGGAGAGTCACTATTTGATTGACCCAAGGAACAACAATAATTTTACAGTGGAACCTTCTTTATTCATAGTATCAGACGATTTGGAAGTGAATCCTTTATCTTTTGCATCTAGTTTTCAACTACTGAGTGAAGTGAAAGTGTCTTTCAGTGATATTGAAGAACAAGTCATCACAGTTGGAACGAAAGAGGTAATTAAACCCGCTTAGATATGCATTATATATGTAATAAATTTGAAGTTTTTCTCCCTGCATGATTACAGGCATTGAGCTTATTGAAGGCAGCTCTTATTAATTACATCGCCATCATCAGCTCTGACCAATGGCTTAAGCACCTTCTTGAAGAAGCGGAAAGCGTAGTATACATAGCAGCTACTATGAAAATCTGGGGTTTGATAAATTTATAGCCTTTGCCCAGTTCTTTGTATTTTGTATTTCCTTCCATCTCAACTCTCTAGCGTACGTGTAATTCCGTGTGTCCGTTTGCTTTGCATTGTTGCTGTTTAGCGACATGTCCTGGAATTAATTGCACTTGGTTTGGTTTGGCAGATCATTTGCTCATGTTTTCTTCTCCTGATCTGTCTTTTCTTATTTCTTGTTATGTTTAGCTATTTTTCCATGTAATAAAGTTCAATTAGTTTCTTGATTTATAGATTATGAGAATAATAATATGTGATTGAACTGTTGTAGTTGCAGTGTAGGAGATACACTCAATGTGTTCGACTCTTTGTAGGCACCAAGCCCTGTTAGCGACAATGTGAGAGTCACTGTTAGTGTGATAGACTCTTGTTAGTGTGATAGACTCTTGTGCGCACTAGACACTTATCTCTCCAACTTAATGAGGAGTTGGGTTACTTTGTTTTATCCATCTTATCTGCACTTTATAGTATATGCACTTTGGTGATATGAAGTTTGTAGAGAAAATAATACTCCTTATATAGTTTTGTGTATATGATCCAACGATTATGTAATAATTTTGTGTTGTGAAGGTTAAAGGATAAGATTTTTAATTGTGTTATAATTATTTTATCACTGCACAATTAAATTTGTGAATGTAAAATGAGTTGATGTTGTTAGATGAATCAATAAATAATTAATTTGGTGTTAAAATGTTGGATTAAAGAAATGATATTACATTGCCAATTACATTATGATTTGATGAGCTTTGTAAATGTAGTATAATATTGAAGTTGGGTGTTCATGAATTGGAAGGCACCACCACTAAAAAAGAAATTTTGTTGTCCAATTAGGGGAAATATTGGAGGGAAAATATATGAGTGGTGTGTAGTATTACTTTTTGTTAACATTGTTGAGCTTTGTAAATGTAGTATTGTATTAAATTTGATAGTGTTAATGAATTTCAATGCATAATGGAATTGGAGTATTACAATATGCTACGTAGTTATAATAAGACACAATGTAAATATTGTAGGTAATGCTTACCTTATTATTGCCTTAAGTAAAAAAGCATGGTGGATTGGTGGCCGAAAAGGGTCTAACTACACGTAATCAGAAGGCTCCAATTAATACAACAATAGCTTAGTCTAAGTATTGAAATTAGAGGGTGTGCCCTTTCTTTGAACCTTGTCAATGATCGAACTTAAAGATATGAACTGGGTATAAAGTACAATGATGACTTTGGGATGGGGGTGGAGGGGAGAGAGAGGGATTTCAGTTAATAGTTTCCGTTACTAAGGATCAAACTCGTTACATTATTACTAGGAGGGAGATTTTATTTAACAAAATACTACATGCACTTTCACTTTTTATTCCCAATTTATATTCCATCCCACAAATAATTGATGTAGACACTGGATCCACTTGATAAAAATATCATATCATTGTTTGCCACATCATGGAGCAAAAGTGATGAAGTAGAATTTGGAGTACATGTAGGGATGGCAATTTCAATCCGACCCGTGGATATCCACCCGAATCCACCCCGCATGGATCGGATTTTTTTGGGTGATGGTGGGTGGTGGGTCGGGGGTGGATCTTAAAAAAGCAAACCCGCGGTAGGTCGGGTTGGATTCGAGTTCTATGTACAAGACCCGCCTAGAACCCCACCCGACCCACCATGTGTTTATATATATATATATATATATATATATATATATATATATATATATATATATATATATAATAGTAAATTAAGTACTAGTATGTAGTGATAGGAGTGCGTGAAGCGCTAAAATGGCTGAAGCAGCTTCATTATGATAACATACAGGTGGAAGCATACTGCATCCAAGTTGTTAAGGGTGTTCACAATTATGATCTGATGTCTTCTTTTGATCTTATCCTTCATGATGTTAGGGAAATAGCTAAGTCTTTTACTAATATTAGCTTTTTGTTTGCTAAACGGTCCGCGAACAGGGTTGCCCATTTGCTTGCTAGGGAAGCCCTGTCCAAGTCTGACTGTTTTCATGTTCCTTTCCCTTTTATTTCCGATGTACTGTCTTTGGATTTAGTTTAATATATTACCACTGTTTATTCAAAAAAAAAAAAAGTACTAGTATGTAGTTATTTATAAAAGTTTATATAACTTCGTGTATCTTTTTACTATTTTTTATATCAAAACTACTAAGTTTATTTTTAAAAATTAACAATTTAGTTATTATATTTAAATATTTCCATTATTTATGTTTTAGTATCACTAATGGATTTTATTTTTTTATTATGTGTAAATAATTTAAATATTATTTTTTGAAAAACTTAATAAGATGATAAGTGGTGGGTACCCGTAGTGGGCACCCGCACCCGGTGGGGGTGGGGGTGGGTTCTGAAAAAGTCCACCCGATGCGGGTTGGAGGTGGGGGTGGGTGGAGAAAATATAAGGTGGGTCGGGTGATGGATGTAGCCCTCCCCGACCCACACCCGACCCATTGCCATCCCTAAGTACATGTAGTAGAACTCTCTTATTTATACCAAATAGCATGTTGACATAATGATGACAAGCTATAAGAGCATCCACACTTGTGGTTTATTTCAGAATTAATTCTCCCCACCCAAGTTAATAGCTGATGTGGGTGTAGGTTATTTGAGAAATAATATTACTGCAAATGTGGGGTGAATGTCAGAAAATACAAAAAAAAAAAAAAAAAAAAAAAAAAAGCAACACAGACTGTGCTCGCTCGTTCACAGCCTGTGGCAACACGAGCGCGTGCAGTGCACGCGCCCGTGTGACGCGTCAAGCTCGCTGATAGCCCGCGTGACGCGTCCTCCCATCTTCTCTTTTCTAATCACTCTTACATTATCCCCCAATTCTCCCCAACCATTGTGGATGCTCTAATGGAGCTTATGTGACGTCCCTCAGTCCCTCGATTGGACATTCAAGTTAATTAGTTATGACACATATAGGTCACTATGAATGTGAGACAATCTCACACAAATTTTTGTCTTGAAATTATCATAGTATATTTAGTTATTTACATTCTAAAAATATGAAAATATTGGTTGAATACTTGAATTTTATTTGTACTTTTACCTATTGATTAGTTTTGCAATACTAAACATAAATTCTTACACGATTTTATTATACCTATTACGTATGGGAAAACAAAAAATGTTTTTCAATAATACTAGGGTTGATCAGTAGGCTAAATATGTTTGCGATTTACTTCTGTAACAGACTTTAGTGGCAGAGTCTTATTGGCTTACAATAAATTTAATAAAGTTGAGTTCACCTAACTTGACAACTCCAACCAAAATGATTAATCAAAAAATTTGGTAACCATTACAAGTTTTTACTCCCCATTGGTCCCTAGTAGGCTATTAGTCGCAATGACGAATTGAAGTCCGAGGCGTTTGCTATTTTCAGGGACAGAGCCAAAAGGGGGCAGGGGTCAGCTGCGCCCCTCATCCCACCCCCACCCCACCTCCACCTCATATATAGTCTTTGTATGTATATATGTATATATATTACAAGTTTTAGTATTAGTATAAAAAAAATTATGAAATACTAACAAGAGCGAGTTAGATTAAGTGGTAGAGCACATATTTGGCAATAATGAGGTCAAGAGTTTAAATCCTATTGTATTAACATAGTTTTACAATTCGTTAATTATGTTTTATATTTTGTTAGGAATATTTTTATAAAATTTTCTGAATCAATTTCTGGCTCAATCCCTGGCTATTTTACTTCTTTTCAAAAGTGTTAAAAGCACAATTCACTTCACTAGCCGTTTCATTACGGGTAATTCTATTTACACCACCTATTTAGTAGGTCAAATAGCTTTATAGGTGGTGTAAATGCCAGCATTAAATGTGATCAAAGATTATTATTTGTTTTTCAATTTTTATAAATAACAAAAAAAAAAAAAAAAAAAAAAAAAAAACCTCCTCCATCCCGTCCCTGCCTTCTCACCGGAGAAGGCAACCCAGTGGGTTGTTTAAAAAAAAAAAAAAAAAAAAAGATGAGATCTGTCACCTTCTCCGGTGAGAAGGCGACGAACTGCCTTCTCACCGGAGAAGGCGACCCACTGGGCTGCCTTCTCACCAGAGAAGGCGATGGTTGCTTTGTTTTTTTGTTTTTTTTTTTTTTTAATGAATTAAATTTTGAATTAATTTTGACCTAATAAATACAGTTTTAATAAGGTGGTGCAAATAACATTTTGACCATCCATTATGCTATTTGCACCACCTATATATTTATTATAAATTATAACATTTTTACATTTCCAATGATACTTTATACCATTTTTAATCAAAGGGTGGTGCAAATAGCAACACCCTTCATTACAACTGTTTAACTTCATTTTCAAAAAAGAAAACGGTTTAACTTCTGAGATGAATGTCCCTTAGATACTCGTGCATGGTGGTGGATTAAATAATAAATACTATACTATACATTCCTGCACGACCATCAATTTGCGCGTTTGATGTATACCGTATTGCAGGCGAAGCGAGCTCAGATTGCTCATAACATAAACATGGCGGCTAAGGAGCAAGAATCGCGACTTTCCTTGAAGCTGTTGATAGATGAGAAGCGCAATCGAGTAGTTGCTGCGGAAGCGCACAAGGAATTTGTGGATATACTTTTCAGCTTCCTCACCCTCCCCATGGGAACGATAATCCGGGTCACCAGCACTGGAGAGGCAAAAAATCCTGTAACAATCGGGTGTATGAACAATCTATACCATGGTGTTGAAAAACTGAGCAATGAAAATTGGGGGACAGAACTGTGCAAGACCATAGTCCTGCATCCACGAAATCCACTAGGGTACTTCTGCCAGAATTTGAAAGTGAACATCGATGACTCTTGGTCCAATACGAACTACCTTTGTTCTCGGAAATGTTGTTTGATGAGGAGCTGGTACCTAAATTTAAGGTGCATATGTGGGGCGAAGACAAACATGAGAACTACGGATATGGTAAATAATGAGGGTGCGTTTTTGCAGAAGGGGAGGACAATGTTCATAATCAGTGATGATTTACAAATCAGACCTGCTTGTCCAATCCTTCTAGCTCAACTTCTATCCAATCTGGGTTTAAGTGAAACTGATGGAATCAGGGAGATGCGGGTACAAGTTAGCAAGGACCAGGTAATGCCCATCACCATCCTTAATTTACTCTCCATCTCATCTGTATCTATTCTTGAAAGTATAATGATTTTGCAGGTAATCTGTCTCCTTGCACGTTCACTGGTTTCAGAGTCTCCTTTGAGTGATGTGTTTCTGCCTAATCCTACAAAACATGACACAAAATTGCCTAAGCCTGAGATTGAGATCACATTGCAGACAACTGAACAAAATGAGGCCCCCACTCTGAATCTTCAAGTAACATTAAACAAGTCAACAAACAAGATATTGTTTGCCAAGGCCACTAATGAGTTCTTTGATTTCCTGTGTACCTTTCTAACCATTCCTATTGGATCAATCATACATGTTTTCCAAAGAAGCTTGGGGTTAGGAGGATGCCTGAACAACTTGTACGCGAGTGTAGAGGAGTTAGAAGATAAATGGATTGGTTCTAGCATTAAGTCTGCTATTCTCAATCCCCGGATCACCCAATATCATAACTGCAAGAAGCAGCCTCTTAAATTGGATGAACTAATAGAGAACGAAAATCTGATTGACCCTAGGCCTAACGAGAATTTTGCAGCGGAACCTTCTTTATTCATAGTTTTAGACAATTTGGACGTGAAGCCTTTGTCTTCTGCTTCAAGTTTTCTCATATTGAGGGAACTAAAAGTGGCTTTCAGTGATATTGAAGAACAGGTGATCACTGTCGGAATGAATGAGGTAATTGAGCACTCAACATATATATATATATATATATATATATATATATATATATATATATATATATGTAACTACAGTGTATATAGTTATAGTGATTTCTCCTGTTTACAGGCATTGAGCTTACTGAAGGCTGCTCTTACATCACCATCATCAGCTCTAACAAATGGCCTAGCCTCCTTTTTGCAGAAGAAGAAGCAGGAAGCATAATAGCAGATACTAAGAAAATCGTGGGTACGGTGGTTTTATTAATTGAAGCCTCAGAATTGAATGAAGTTCAGCTCTATAATCTTGTACCTAGTATTCTTGTTATACTTCATCGTGCTGCGTTTGTAGTTTGAAACCAATGTTTGTTTGTGTCCTATAACTAAGTCCGCTTTGTTTGGTATGTGTAAATTGTAATCTGCCCGTCCATGTTCATTTCTTCTGTTTTAATTTTTCTGGTTTGTGTACACTCTCTTCAGTATGCTATCTTGATGTATTCTGGCTTTGAAAGCTTATAATTTTTAAGCAATATCCAATTATTATTGAGTATTATTTAACATCAAACGTACGTTATTTGCATTCTGTGGGGTGGTGGTGTTATGAGGAATAACCTGGGAGAATGGATTGTCGGCTTCCAACTTAACATTGGGGATTGCTCGGCCGATGTAGCGGAGGCCTGGGCAGTCCTAACTGGTCTCAAGGTGGCTTGGCAAATGGCTTTTTCTAATATTATAATTTAATGCGACTCCGTCAATGTGGTCAATCAGATAAATGATCCTTTTTTTTACGTTAGAGGGGTGGAACCTTCAATAATATTATTTTTTAGGGTAAAGCGTGGATAAAAAAAGGCTAGAATGTCAAGTGTCATCACGTTTTATGGGAATAGAATCATGTAGCGGATTAACTAGCGAAGAATCATGACTTAGATCACGAGCTGGCTTTTTTGTTTTTTTTTGCCAAAATGCCGAGCTCGAGGAGTTAGTCCATAGGAATCCTGTTGCGGTTCCTAGTGTCTGTGGTGACTGATTGTTTTTGTTTCCCGGGGTCCACCCTTCCTTTTTGTTAAAAAAAAAACGAAATTTAATAAAAAATGTTGGTAGTATAGATCATTGATAGATTATACTTTGTGTTATTTTCATTGTATCTTTTTATATTATTTATCAAATGTACCCGTATAACTTTGAAAAATTACTCAATTATGTTAACAAATGTTACAAAAGGCATATGATGATGAAAGGTGTGGATAATGAATTGAATCTCTTATATGTAGGCTGATGGCATGATTCGCAATTTACATGTTGAAACTATGATTACCTAAATATTAAAAAAAAAAAAAAAGTGATTGTCAATTTAATGCATTATGTTTTTCCTTTTATGTTAATTAATTAATTCTAGTGAGAGAGAGAAAAAAGAATCTCCATAATTGGAATTATCATAGTATATTTAGTTATTTACAATTCAAAGATATGAAAAATATTGGTTGAATACTTGAATTATATTTGTACTTAACATATTGATTAGTGAGTTAATAACTAAAATGGTCCCTCGACTATGCCATAATTACCAATTTAGTCCTCGACTATCATTCTTACACGATTTAGTCCTCATCTATGTAAAATTTACCCAATTTAGTTCTTAGTTAAATTTTCTGTTTGTTGAACGTTAAAATTGAGGGCAAAAATGTCATTCTACTAGCTTTCATCCTCTTGATTATGGCATAGTCGAGGGACCAAAATCGTGTAAGAATGATAGTGGAGGACCAAATTAGTAATTTACGACATAGTCGATGGACCATTTTGGTTATTTACTCTTGATTAGTTGTGCAATACTAAACATAAATTCTTATACTCCGTAACATAGCTATTACGAATTCTCAAAAAAAAAATAAAAAAATAACATAGCTATTACGTATTGGAAAAAAAAAATGTAATAATACTAGAGTTTAGCCCGTATGCTAAATATGTTTCTGAATTACGATGTTTTGCTTCTACAAAGACTTTAGGAGCGGATTGTCTTAGAATAAATTCAATGAAATAGAGATTACATGGGACTCATGAAAAATGTTTTCCTTGAATCTTCAAATTCATAAAAAAATATTTTCTTAAGAAATAGGAAAACATTTTTTATGGTCCTCCCTTAGTATTTTGTTTTTCATGGAAAATAAGTGGAGAATTATATTCTCACCAACTTTTCTTGATTATCATTATTATTGTTATTATTATATAGGGATATAATTATCATTATACTTATTATTTTTTACAATCTCAAACTCAACCAAATAATGAAATTGATATTCTCAATAATTTATTTTCCACCAATCAAACAATGTAATTAATCTTCCTTAGAATTTCTTTTCCCCTTAAATATTTTTCGCAACCCAAAAGGGACCTTAAGCATATAAAAAAATATATATCAAACTTCAACCAAATTAATTAATAAAAAAAGAAAAATATTTGATGTACTTTCATTTTATACTCCCAACTTATACTCTCTCTCACATGTTTTTGATGTAGGCACTTTTCTGTGGACCCACATGATGAAAATAACCAATCCTGATTTGTCACCTCAGGAGTAAAAATGAAGGAGTAGAATTTGAAAGTTCATGTAGTACAACTCATCAAAAAATTTGGTGATCAGATTACAAGTTTTGACTCCCCATGGGAGACATAGGTATCATTATCATCTATTCATCTATAAGACTATAACTAGACCTCCAGTAGTCGCAATTCAATCACGAAGTCCGAGGCGTTTGCTGTTACTTCTTTTCAGAAGTGTTCAAAGCACGAAATTGAGCAATTCACTAGGCGTTTCATTACAACTGTTTAACTTCTTAGATACTCGTGCTTGCAGAGATCACACTGCATGTAACATGGCGGCCAGTGTTTCTTTGAAGCTGATGATAGATGAGAAGACGAATCGAGTTGTTGCTGCAGAAGCAGAAAAGGACTTTGTGGATATACTTTTCAGCTTCCTCACCTTCCCCATGGGAACGATAATCCGCCTCACCAGCCATGAACAGCTGAAAATCCCAGTCACTATTGGTTGTATGAACAATTTGTACCGTAGCATTCAAAATAGCCTACTAAATTGGCACACAGAACTCTGCAAAACCATGGTGCTCAACCCAAGAAATCCGTGTGCGATCTATTGCAGCAAGTTGAAAATCAACATTGATGACTCGGGGTCGGAGATGAACTACGCGTGTTCTCGGCAGGGTTGCCGGTATCTTAGCAAGTACCAAAATGTTAGCTGCGTGTGTTCTAAAGGGGTGACTACCAAAGAAATGAAGTCTGATGATTCGGGGTCGTCAGTAGAGAGTTGCAGGTATGGGGGTGCGTTTTTGCAGAAAGGGTCGATAATGTTTTTAATCACTGAAGATTTACAGATCAGACCTGCTTCCCCACACATTCTTGCTCAACTCCTCTCCGGTTTCGGTTTAAGCGAAACGAGTGGAATCAGGGAGATGCCGGTTGAAGTTAGTAAGGAGCAGGTACTTTAGTTAGTTCTCTGATCTGTTTGTATTTCGAACATTTGAAACTATATATGGTTAGTAAAAACATGTCATTCATTTTCAGGTAATTCGTCTGCTCGCACGATCACTGGTTTCAAAGTCTCCATTAAGCGATGTCTTTCTGCCTAATCAAGGGGCAACCAGCATTCATGTCAAACATAAAAGAACTTCGCCATCTGCCTCTATTGATGTGAGTGGGACTGGGGCAGCTGATTATGGAGATTCCGTTTTGTATCTTAAAGTAAAACTAAACAAAAATACAAACAAGATACTGTATGCTGAAGCCACAGATGAGTTCTTCGATTTCTTGTGTAGCTTTTTAACTGTTTCCATTGGGTCAGTGATAAGAGCTTTGGAAGGAAATTCTGGGTTAGGATGCATTGATAACTTATACACAAGTGTGAAAGACTTGGATAAAAAATGGTTTGGTTCAGATGTTAAGGACATCATTCTTGACCCTCGGATTGCGCAGTATCATAATTGCAAGAAGCAACCCCTCAATTTTCCGGCACGTCTCGAGAGTGGCTATATAATTAACCCAAGGAACGGCAATAACTTTGCAGAGGAACCTTCTTTATTCATAGTTTCAGACGATTTGGAAGTGAATCCTTTATCTTTTGCATCAAGTTTACAACTACTGAGGGAAGTAAAAGTGGGTTTCAGTGATATTGAGGAACAAGTTATCAGTGTTGGAAAGAGAGAGGTAATTAAACCCTGTTAGATTTGCATTATTATAATACACAACGAACTCTGATGTATATATAGATAATAATAAATTTGAAGTTTATTCGTGCATGCTTACAGGCATTGAGCTTACTGAAGGCAGCTCTTACATCGCCGTCATTGGCTTTGACGAATGGCTTAAGCACCTTCGTGAAGAAGCGGAAAGCGAAGGAGGAGATATTATGAAAATCTTGGGGTTTGATAAATTGTAGCTTTATTTCAGTTCTTTGTATTTTGTATTTCCTTGATCTCAGCTTTTTTGCTTTACATTGTTGTTTGAAGACATGTTTTTTGGAGTTCTGGAGTTAATTGCTCTTGGTTGGGCACTTGGATTGGATTGCTTCTTAGTATAGCCTTGATCCTTCAAAAAATTAAAATTTGGTTGAAGATAGAGATGATTGTTTTCATTTTGAATGTCTTATATCATTCTATTATGTCATTACTTGTTTTTTATTTTGATATTAAAACTTGGGAGAAATTTTTTTTTAAAAAAAAAAAATCATTAGACACTTAGTTAAAGCCAACAAAAATCATTTGTGATTGAGGAACACCCTACCACTTATATTCTATATTTTTCATAGTTATTCAGCAACAGTTTGTTAATTTGGTGGAATCTGATGCTACATAATGCATAGACATATTCTCTTCTCAATTGTGATTTGTGAGACACAATATGCGTTCAGCGTTGCTTGGCAATTGTCGTGTACGTATACTATGTGAACCGCAAATTCCTTTCACGATTTCACGAATGTCATGTCCATACATGCTCCCACTTGCACTAAATCTTGGGACATCTAAATTCTAAAGCCTGAGATCTCCCCCTCATTTCAAGTAAGGCTGGTTACCTTATTCCTAAAATTTACCCTCTTTCAAAGTAACATGTGGCATAATTTATGTCGCTATTTATAAATTAAAAAGTTTTTCTTTTTAAATAGGATGTGCCTTGCAACTTGCAAAGTGCAGAGTAGTAAACATTGCAAGTCTTGGAAAGTGAAAAAGAAGTACAATGTAATGAGTGGATGGAGAGTTTTTGTTATTTTTTTTTATCATTTTTAATAATTTAAATAATAATAACATTAATGAAAGATAATAATTTTTTAATGTAATGTGAGATGTGAATTTACTAATAAAAATGAGCTGAAATTGTAAGGATGTAGATAAAATAGTAAACGAAATTTTAACGCTTTCAAAAGAAGAGCTTTGTAACAAAACACTTTAGAAATTTTAAAACTCTAAAATGTATTAATACTGGTCCAAATTAAACTTACGTAATTTCAATTTGTGACAAAAACTACTTCAATGTTTTTTTTTTTTTTTCATTTAAACTTAGGTAATTTCAGATTCGCCAGATAATGTTTTGGAGCAGAATTTGAATCCTATCAAAGACCACAAGATGAGAGTATGAATTTGACTTTGTTGTGGACATTGATATAAAAGTATTTAAGGGCTTGTTGATCAATTAAAAATTTAAGAGTTAAAGACACATCATTTATCTCCTTCACCCATCTCAAGAGCGGTAAGGGATCATTAAAATTGGGGTACAAACTTTTTTAGCAATTGACATAACATAATTAATGTCCATACATGATATAAGTCTCAATCTAACAAATATAATAAAAGTCAATCTTGTTAACTCTTAACTGGAATTAAAAAAAATGTTGGTAGTATAGCTCATTGATAGATTATAATATTCTACCCAAAAGGTTGAATTCGCAACCCCAAAAGCCCACACACCTCGGCCCGACAAAGTATCTTGGAAGATGTAAATCATGGTAACTCAGCTGAACCACAGAAACTAGACATTTGTTTACTGCGCACAAGGAGCCCCTCTCTTTGAGAGGTTGCTCTCACATTGTCGCTGGTGATAATATGTGTTATCTTCATTCTACCTTAATTTACCCCTATAACTTTGAAAAATTACTCAATTATATTAACATATGTTACAAAAGTTAAAATGATTTCAATTTGCTCTAGGGTGCTTAGTATTTCAGCCACCAACTGTCTGTGCCGGATAGCTGGTGGCTGATTATATATATATATTAATAATTGATTATGCAACATATTAGAAACCTACAAAAAAGTCAATGGAATAAATTTAGTTGGTAAATGAGTCTATTTGGCACTAAATTTAATTCGTGGTGAAAATTGAATATTTACAATAGTGGATGGACCTATTTGACACTTCTGTCTTATTATTATTATACAAGAACATTTTAATATTTATTTCATTTTTTCATCCTCATCTCCAATAATTCTATTACTCCCTATCAAATAATGTAATTTAAATTCTAATATTAATTCTACCTTATTCTTTTACCACCAAATTATAATTCCTTTCATTTCTATTTCCTTCCTCCAACCAAACACTCCCTACAAGTTTTGACTGCCACGGGAGATATAGGTATCATATATTCATATCATCTATAACTAGACTTCCAATAGTCCCTAGCAGTCGCAATTCAATCACGAAGTCCGAAGCGTTTGGTGTTACTTCTTTTCAGAAGTGTTCAATGCACGCAATTCACTAGCCGTTTCATTGGTGGTGTATTAACTTCTGAGATGTATGTCACTTCGCTTAGGTATTCGTGCATGGTGGTGGATTAAAAAAAATATTATACATAAGGCTAACCTTATCCCTGAAAGTGGGTGCCTTGCTAAATGATGTGGCAAGAGAGAGAAATTTCTTTTGCTTTGATTTTTAGCTTACATGGATAGCAAGAGGAGAGAGAAATTGCAAATTTAGCAAGTGGAGAGAGAAGCAATTTTGCTGCCATTCGCCGCCCATTCCTGCCAACAACTTTACTTTTTCACTTTTTGTTTTGTTTATTATTTCTTTTAATATTATTTTATTATTATATTTATAATATAATATGAAAGTGGGACCATTTTAGAAAGTGAGAGAATATTGCAGGGATGTAGAATAAATAGTAGATAATTTGTAAATTTGATGATGTGGAAGTGAGACCCATTTTAGAAAGTGAGATAAATTTTTGGGATAAGGATAGCCTAAGATAGTGATGTAGATACTTGACTAGGACCATAAAAAAATGTAGGCTATCAATTTGTCGCATTATGGAGTTAAAATTTAGAAGTATGATTTGAAAGTAGTAGACTCGTAGATTAAAGACTATACATTCTTGCCGGACCTTCAATTCGCTTTTATAATATAACAGCGATCACGTACACTGCATGTAACATGGCGGCCAACCGAGAATCCAGTGTTTCTTTGAAGCTGTTGATAGATGAGAAGACGAATCGAGTAGTTGATGCAGAAGCAGAAAAGGACTTTGTAGATATACTTTTCAGCTTCCTCTCCTTCCCGATATTGGGAGATAGCAACGCTGATGATGTAAATGCCAAAGGGCTTTTGTGTAATCTCACCATGTCAAGTCAGTTAGGAGCAGTTACACCATAACCGTGTATATAAACCTTCTTCTACCAGCTTCTCTGTAATGAGACAGTTTATCCTTCTTCTTTCTCTGTTGGAATAAAATACTTTCTTCCCTTTCGTCTTCTGAATGCCAGCTTAGCCAACACCCGATGCAGCCGTGAACAGATGAAAATCCCTTTCACTATTGGTTGTATGAACAATTTGTACCGTAGCATTCAAAATAGCCCAGTAAATTGGCACACACAACTCTGCAAAACTAAACAAAAATACAAACGAGATACTGTATGGTGAAACCACAGATGAGTTCTTTGATTTTCTGTGTAGCTTTCTAACCGTTTCAATCGGGTCAGTGATAAGAGCTCTGGAAGGAAATTCGGGGTTAGGATGCATTGATAACTTATACACAAGTGTTAAAGATTTGGATGAAAAATGGTTTGGTTCGGATGTTAAGGACATCATTCTTGACCCTCGGATTGCGCAGTATCATAATTGCAAGAGGCAATCCCTCATTTTTCCGGATCGTTACGAGAGTTTCTATATGATTGACCCAAGGAATGGCAGTACTTTTGCAGAGGAACCTTCTTTATTCATAGTTTCAGACGATTTGGAAGTGAATCCTTTATCTTTTGCGTCAAGTTTACAACTACTGAAGGAAGTGAAAGTGGCTTTCAGTGATATTGAAGAACAAGTGATCACTGTTGGAACGAAAGAGGTAATTAAACCCGGGTAGATTTGCATTATTATAATACACAACGAACTCTGATGTATATATAGGTAATAAATTTGAAGTTTTTATTCGTGCATGATTACAGGCATTGAGCTTACTGAAGGCAGCTCTTACATCGCCATCATCTGCTCTGACCAATGGCTTAATACCTTCTTGAAGAACCAGAAAGCATAGTAGCAGACATGTTGTTTGAAGACAAGTTTTTTTGGAGCCTTGTTTCTGTTCTTTGTATTTTGTATTTCCTTGATCTCAACTCTCTAGTATTGTCCATTTGCTTTACATTGTTGTTTGAACTTTGAAGACATGTTTTTTGGAGTCCTGGAATTAATTGCCCTTGTTTAGTTTGGCTAATTTGCTTGTGTCCATGGAGTAAAAACAGGGTTGTGGTTGCAGATTCCAATAAGAAGATTTAGCAATGAGGTTTGACGATGACAACCATATACATCGCTTATTAGCTTGTACGTGAATCTGAATTGGATTGCTTTATTCACTATAACAACGTTATAAGATGTAAAAGTTGGAAAAAAAAAAAAGAAACCAAATACGATTTCCACTAAAACCTGTACGTAAAACAAACTTTATGATACAACAAGCATCCCAAATTCACAAGATAAGATCACTTTGCCAAAAGCCAACTATCGGCACTTGGATTGGACTGCTTTTTAGTATAGTTTTTTTTGGTACTAATAACTCTGTTACAATACAGTATCTGTTCATAATTACTCACTCAATCTACTGAAACACAAAGAGTCTGTTATTATTTGTTACTAGCATTTTTACATGTGCGTTGCACGGAATGAATTTGTTATAATACTTTAAGAATATTTAATCGATATACAAATATAAATTATAACAGCGAATATTATAGTGCAGTTGATGAAAGGAGTTGTATCGATTATGTTTTTTATGTTATCCTTGCTTGAATTCGAGCTGCTCAATTACCCATGCAGTGCGTGTGCAATACAAGATAAAATTCTTTATTATATATTTAGACAATAAAATTAAAAATGAAAATATAAATTATGTAGTTGGTGAGGCTGCATTGGTCTATCATCTCCTCTAAGTTATTCATTGTATTGCTTTAAAAAGTTCATTGATCAATAGGGATTGATTCATCATCTTTTCTAGAGAAAATGAAGGATAAGGTAGTGGAGATGACTAAGAATGCAGAGAAAATGGGAATGTTTGTTTGAAGTGAAAATCACATCCGTCTCTCTTAATTTTGACTTCTAAACCTCTCCCATTCAATATTTAATTACGCAAATATTCACATTAATTTAGGTGTGTGTATCTCTCTCTAGCTCTGTGACCCACTCTCCTTCTTTGTTTACCTCTCATTCAAATAATTATTTGTGTCTTTTAATCTGGTTGTGGTGGAGGGACAGAGATGGATCCTCTAGAGGAGGTGGCCGGAGATCCCAACTACACCAAGCAAGATCTCTCCCACATCGTCAAGGGCAAAAGAATCAAACGCTCACGCTCAACGCCCCATTCTCCGATCACCGCGACGACGCCACCACATTCTTCCGTCGGAGTTGGTACGCAGATATCGCCACCTCTGAGCCAATCCCTGTTGCTGCGCCCACGCCGGAGGACGGGGACATGGCTAGCTGCCTTATGCTCCTCTCCCAGGGCGGCGGCGGAAAATTCTGCAGCAAGAAATACGTGGAGACAACGATCACCGTAGCGGCGGGAGAGGGGTGAAAGTGGAATGTACATGTACGAATGCAAAACGTGCGGGCGCACGTTCTCGATGATTCATCATCAGCCAATTATCCGTGCAATGCGTGTGCGATGTACGGATAAAACTACAAATACTGAGTATTTTTATAATTTTTCAATTTTAATATTGTTGTATTGTATTGGAATAGGAATTTTAACGTAGAATTGTAGTGACGAATAGGAAAGTAGAAAACTATTAGGGATGTCAATTGTACCCGCACCCGACGGGGAACCCGATTCCCCGCCCCTACGGGGACGGGGATGGGGACAAAAATAGGGAATCGGGGATGGGGATGGGGACAATTTTGAATTCCCCGCCGGGGATGGGGACTACTCTCCCCGCCCCTTCCCGTCCCCGATATATATATATATAGCCACACAAAACACACATGCATATGTATTACTTTGTATACAATATATAATTTTAGAAGCATTCTTGTCATTGTATGTCATGCTTAGGAAATGCATATTTAAATAACATATTTAATTGTAAAATATTAAATACTACTTTAAGTTGGGATGAATATATATGCATTATTTATTTAAATATTTTTTAATGTTTAATTTTTATTTTTTTATAACTTATTCATGGGGTGGGGATTCCCCGTCCCCGAATAATACCCGTGGGGATGGGGATGGGGATGGGGGGAGTTTTTCCTTCCCCGACGGGGATAGGGAATGAGAAAAAAGTCGGGGGCGGGGATGGGAGATATGTCCCTCGCCCCCACCCCGCCCCGTTGACATCCCTAGAAACTATATATTCTATTATGAATTGTATTACTCTGTTTTATACTTTCAAAAAAAAAAAAAAGTATTACTCTGTTTTATAATATTACACAAACTTTAATAATATATGACTGTTTTAGACGCAAAGTTAAAATAGAGGATTTTATTTTTATTAATAGTATAGATTTATTTTGAAATCAAAAAATAGCTGAATTTTTTTTTCCAACAAAAATCATTTGTGATAGGGGAACTCCCAACCACTTATATTCTATATGTTTCATACTTAAAAGTTTGTTAATTTTGGTGGAATCTGATGCTACATAGTACATATTCTCAATTGTGAGACACAATATGCGTTCAGCGTTCCTTGGCAATTTTTGTGTACCTATACTACATTACTATGTGAACCGCAAATTAAATTCCTCTCACGATTTCACGAATGTCATGTACATACAGATAATGATGTTCCCTACTAGGCTACTTGCAGTAAAATGTTCCCTACTAGTGCATCTCAAGCTTAAGGTTATTCTTATCGCAACAAATTCGTCTTACTTTTTAAAATGTATCATACTTTAACCTCATCAAATTTGTAAATGTTTTAATATTAATTTTACATTCTTACAATATTTTCACACTTTCTATAGTGATCCCACTTTCATATTATATTATACTCCATATGTCCTATTTTATCTGTCATACTCACTATTAATTGGTCAAATCAACTCTTTATTCTTTACTTATTTTTATTAGAATTTTTAAATTTTATTTGTTGTGTTTAATAGTACTTTTAATGTAGTTTCTAAATATATAAAGTTTATATACTAATTCTAAACTTAATATTATGAAAAAATAAATTTTAAATAACTTCAGTCAAGCCTCGTTAACCGAACAAAACACATAAAATGGAACGAAAAGAGTAAATATAATAATAAATAACTAATAAAAAAATTTGTTAAAAAAAAAAGGTACCCAAAGGCATGCGACAGCCTTTTGTCAGTTTTAGAAAGCTTGCTGCAGTAACAAGCTTTCTATCCAACATGACAAAAAAAAAAAAAAAATTACTTTTGAAAATCCTAATCATTTATAAAGGGGGCATGGGGTATTGGCTGGGATGAGGTTTGCCTAAGATCTCGACCTCATTGCAACTTGCAAGTAAGAGCATCCATTCTAGTTATAAATAATAAAAAAAATTGTAGTTTTTGAGGAGTTTTTGTAAGTGTTATTAAGAAAGAAATTTAATGACATCACTGTTATCATTCTAAATGAAAGGTCAAAAGTTTGAAACACATCTCAATCAAAGGTGTTGGATATTATAAATAGTATAGATTATAATTGCCAAAGAAAAACTCTAAAATGTATTAATGTTGGTCCAAAGTTACATTAATTTGAATGTGTAATAAAGACTACTTCAAATTCTTTCAATGTTTTTATTTTATTATTAACTTCATGAGTTTATTTTCAAAATCATTTTTTTCGATCACTCATTATTGTTTTTAGTGTATAAATATATAAAATTTATCTTCTCAACTATGAGAATCCAAGTTCACTTTAATCTAACTCGAATTTTTTATATAACAAATGATTTTTTTTTTTTAAAAAAAAAAACTTAAGACCCCTATCCACAAAGTTTTTGAATTATCTTTAATTTAAGACCTTCGAAAAAAAAATATTTATCCATATATTGCATGTAAAATTAAATTAAAATGACCTTTCATACATATAAATTTTGATTTGAAGATTTAATGTTAAGTTAGTCTAATTTTTTTTTTTTAAATTAAAATGTTGAAAATCAAATCATTAGCTCGAAAGTATAAACAAATATAATAATTTTGATCCAAATCACACCAATTGTAAGGAATTATATTATTTTAAGATAACTAAATATTTACTACATCACTACACGTGTACAAATTTTCATTACATTATAACCAATCATTGTACTATATAATATCTATCTTTTCAAAATAATTCTTAATTAATATTTTTGTAAATAAATATTTTAAGTTAATTACAAACTAAGGCTGTCTTTACCCCTGCCAATATCATATTGGCAAGATGAGTTGGACAATGCCATGTATGCTTTTTGTTTTTTTTTTCTTTTTTTTTTTAAATAGTGAGGTGGGTTGCAAGTTTGCTCTGCATGCAAACTTGCAACCGTTGCGGCAGCTTTTTGTACTTTTTTTTTTTAGTTTTTTATTTAGTTTATTTAATTTTGTTTTCTTTCTTTTATTTTATTTGTATGTTGTTTTGTATTTTGCGTTATTAATTTTTTTATATTTAATGTGTAATATTTTTTTAAAATTACGTGTCTAAAATTTATGTTGATAAAGATACATTTTTTTTGTAAGATTGATATACATACATTCATTACTATACATAAATTAATTCATTAATACATACATTTAGTTTTTCCATTAATACATACGTAATTAGTTATTTTCACATTTGTTATATTTAATATTTAAATATAAGTTATATATTGATATAAATAAATAATGTTGAAGACAAAATAATATTTATTAAGAAAAAAATATTAATTTTTTAAAGTGATGTGAAATTGGAGCCCACTTTTGAAAGTTGATTGGATTTGCAGGGATGTAGTATGAATAGTAGATAATTTACAAATGGGATGATGTGAAAGTGGGACCTATTTTTGAGAGTGGGAGATGTTTGCAGGGGTAAGGATAGCCTAATCCTATTTACATATCTTACTTGTACCATAACATTGCCGTACGACCTAAAACAAAGTACCTTTGAGCACCCTAGGCATTCCCCCAAATCTGATTAGTTTTGTGAGTACAATGTTGCCTATTAAAAAATAAATAGTCAATATCGTCCCTACTAAAACTTAAACTAATGACTTTCAATTTGGGAGAGTAATTTCATATCACTAGACAACTCCATAAGGTCATTGGTCAAATCTGTTTAGTTGACATCATTTTATTTACGTAATTTATACTCTATAATAAAATAATTATTTCATTAGTAATTAATCAATACCAACAAAAAAATTAGTATAAATATGATTCACATAATTTTTTTGTCCTCTCTTAAATGAGACAGCTGACCTGAAAATTTAAAGCTGTTCCATTTCCACGTAATATTTTGTTTCTCATAATTTGATGTTTATCTTATTTACGGCATAGTCAATTGCTAAATCAGCTCCAACAAAGAAAACGATGATGGTCAAATAATGGCACTAGTCATTATCCAACCATTTTGCAATATGATATATGTGGTCGTGGTAGGTGGCAATTGGCGAGTATTCTCAATTAAATGTGAGAGGAGTAGGTGTACTGATCAAATTAAATTTGAGAGGATGCTGGTAAGTCATTAATTTTTTAAAAAATATACTACAGAGTACAGAGTATATAAATGATGGTTGAAAACTACGAACGAATTACAAATTGGATAACATTATAACAAACAATACGTGCTGTAAAAGATGTGCAAACAAAAATTGTAATGAAATCATCAAAAGATTTAGGGTGTTTGGTAAATGGCTATTAGCTAATTGATAGCATTAGCATGTTGTAGAAAAGTATTTGATAAATTAATTATTATGTTAGTTGATTACATATAAAATGATTCTCTAAAAAAACGAATCAAAAAAATTACTTAAGCAATTTTTTGAATTTTAGCATTTTAGAGCGATAAGTTGTTACAAAAAAATTAATTAATCAAACACTCTTATTTATTGTTTAACTAATAGTCATTAAATAAGTCAAAATTGACTGACAGATTACCTATTTTATTAAACAAGGCCTTAGAAAAATCATATTTGCCTGATAAATATTAAAGATACATAAATTACCGTCTATTAAAGAAACAATTGGAGATAAAGTTATGCATATTAAAAATATCATATCGAGCTCGTAACCTTATCAATCTTTTTAAGAAATTTTATAAATTTTGTTAAATAATAATCCTATTCCATTTTAACCTTTTTTTTTTTAATTTGGAAATACATTTTTTTTCTTTATATGCATTTCATACTCATTAATGCATATTATAAATTCCCTATGTGGTCTAATGGTACTTATGTTGGACTTCTATTTGGAAGGTTAAAGGTGTTATAGTAGGTTGAGAAAGTATATGAATAGCTACTACATTGTAATAGATTTACTGCCACGACTATTATTGTATTATCATTTTAAAATGCATGATAATTATTTTTTAAACAGAATGGGTCCACGACCTTCGATTTACGGGATTCTAGCCACTAAATAATTCAATATGGTAAATCAGCTTAGGTTAGTCACTTATAAATTCAAATTAAGAAGGTTAATAGATAATTCTAATAAAAAATTAAACTATAAATTTTATGATTATTAAATTAATTATATCTAATCAATTTGACTAGAATGCTTGGAATAGTCCGTGCTTATTTCCATCCAAATGTATTCTTAGTTAAATATTTCGTATTGCTTATTAGTTCAGTAGACAGTATTTGAGAGGAAAGATAAAGTTTAAACCTCAGCAACAATAGTGTTTGTGTGCATTAATATTTGATTTTATCTTGAGTCATTGAGTCATCGTTGGAATGTGGGGTTCTTGAAATTTGGGATTCATTCTTCCAAAATGTTGAACCCCAATCCTAAGGGCCCCACACCCCGGCCCGACAGAGCATCTGGGGGATGATGTAAATGACATTTGCTTATTGCGTACAAGGAGCCCCCATTTTAAGAGGTTGCTCCCACACTGTCGCTGGTGAAACACAATCTTTGGTCATTCTTCTAAACTTTTAGGGGTCGTTTAGTTCACGGAATGTCAGATTACCTTAGGGAATGTTAGATTGCTAGGAATGTTAGATTCCTGTGTTTGGTTAAAATTGAGGTATGTAATATAATCATGTTTGGTTTAGGGTTATCTTTTATTCACACACTATAATATCCTTAACATATTTTCATATATTTTAATAAATTTAAAAATTAAAATAAATAAATAAGATAACGGTATCATATATAATTACATGATTTTAAAATATTAACTAAAATATTGAACTTGAGAAACAAAATTATTTTATATGCTAACCTAACATAATAAAAATAAAAAATATATAATTACAAAAATAATTATATATTTGTGTGTATGTGTAATAAACTAACATAACCAAGGTTATGGAAATTGAAGGGAATCACATTCCCTTCAAAATCCTATGTGGAGGGAATGTGACATTCCTTGGGAATGTTAGATTCCCTGAGATAATGTGAACCAAACATAGAATATGAGTTTTGAAATGTCACATTCTCTTAATTATGTTATATAACCTGAACCAAAAGTCCCCTTAAAAGGTAAAGACCAGCTACCCATGCGGACACCGAATTTGGGATTCATGATTTTGGGAGAAGTGGACCACGGTTTGAATGTTAATGACTTTTAATGGGCATTGCGTAAGTCGCCATAGCAAATTGGGTGCCTTTATAACGCTTTCCGAGATTCCGACCCGCAACGCTCTCCTTCCCTGTCTCCTCAAGTGCTCTGTCTATATTTCCTCATTCTTACCAAAATCAGTGTTTTCCGTCTCTCTTTATATAAACAAAATCTATCTTCTTCTCCTTCCTTCTCTTCCTGCTGCCCCGCTCACGGTGATCTGCGTAAAACGCTAACGCCAGGATTTGGTCACATTTCTCCGTTGCTAACGATGGGAGGTGATCACGGGAACGCCAAATCGGACATATCGTTTGCTGGTACCTTTTCCAGTAGCGCTTTTGCCGCTTGCTTCGCCGAGGTCTTTCATTTGTTACTCTGTCTACCTTTAAATTATGGCCTCAGATCATTTATCGTTTGAAATGAAATTGATCAGCGTATGCTTGTATTACTGCATTTTAATATTCGTAAATCTGCTGTTTGAATTTTCGGATTCTGAGCATTTTCCTGTGTTTTTGTGTGCGTCTGCGTAAAACTCCGATGCTGTAAACATCGTGCTAAGTCGGACCGGTCTTTTTAGTGCTTTCCTTTTTGTCCTATCAATTTACGTGATCTGTTCCATCGCATGAGTTGAATGGAGGCTATTTTGCCTATCATTTCTTCTGTAAATTTGATTGTTATGATGTTTTAGTTATTACAGCCATTCCAATCGATGCAAGAATCGGATTTCCCCTTTTTGTTGCCTGTATGGTCTACTATGTGCACTTGTGCATAGTGTAATAGAATACTTTTGATTTCGAAAGGAAAGTTTGATTGGATGAGTTCATAAGATTCTTAATTAGGTCTTTCATCCTGCATATGATCACTAAAAGTTGGTTACTTCCGAAAACTGGATGTATGCTATATCTGTGACTGCAATTTGCTTTAAGTTGTTTGTCAATCTTTTGTTCTCGTCTAAAGTGGTTTTATGTATGAATACATTTACTTTATTCAGATTTGTACTATCCCATTGGATACTGCTAAGGTTAGGCTTCAGCTTCAAAAGAAAGCTGTTGAAGGAGATGGAATGACTTTACCAAAGTACAGGGGAATGTTGGGTACAGTTGGAACAATTGCCAGGGAAGAAGGTCTAGCTGCTCTGTGGAAGGGTATTGTACCAGGATTACATCGTCAATGTCTATTTGGTGGCTTACGAATTGGGTTGTATGAACCTGTATGTCCTATTTAGGTTTCTCTGATAGTGTTATTAATATCAACTCTCTGTTGGTTTTAACCCCTTGTGGCTCAATTTCATTCTGAGCAGGTAAAGAACTTTTATGTGGGTAAAGATCATGTTGGGGATGTGCCACTGTCAAAGAAAGTCCTTGCTGCACTCACAACTGGTAAGGACATCTTATCAATGCTTGTATGGTCTATTTGCTCGAGTTCAGAAAATTAAATTAGTTATGTTCTTTCTAATCTTTAATAAACCATACATTTTATTCAACAATATTCGTTTTTTAAATATCCAGTACATTGTATCAGTTTGTGTTTGTATTATGTGATGCGTTCTATTTGATACTTGTTCATCCAACAGGTGCTCTGGGCATAACGATTGCAAACCCTACTGATCTTGTTAAGGTGAGGCTTCAAGCTGAAGGCAAATTACCTCCTGGTGTGCCAAGGCGTTATTCTGGAGCATTAAATGCTTATTCTACGATAGTGAGACAAGTAAGTTTTCTGGCTTTTTCCATTTCTCTACCTCTTGAGAAAATGAGCCAGCTTTTTATTTGACCTTTGTTTTCAATTGATAAAAGTTTTTGTTGCATCTGGATTTTAGGAAGGAATTGCAGCTCTGTGGACTGGAATTGGACCAAATATTGGGCGAAATGCTATAATAAATGCAGCTGAATTAGCAAGTTATGACCAAGTGAAGCAGGTATTTGTCAATAAATTTCTGCATCATACTAATATTTCTGTTATACTCTGACATGGTTATTTGTTTGGATATCAACGTTGTCCTGCCTATGTAATTTATTTGTTTAAATTTCCCTTGCAGACAATTCTAAAGATTCCTGGGTTCACAGACAATGTGCTTACTCATCTTTTATCCGGTCTCGGAGCTGGTTTCTTTGCAGTCTGCATAGGGTCCCCAGTTGATGTGGTATTTTATAAACGTTTCCCTGTTTAATTTCCCATTAGTAACTGTAGATTCATTGTTGAGTCAACTTCTGATTGTTTATGTCATTGTTTCCACCGCTCCTAGTGCCTAGTCATGCCAATTAGCTAACTTCATGCAGGTTAAGTCGAGAATGATGGGAGATTCAACATACAAAAATACACTGGATTGTTTTGTGAAGACTTTGAGGAATGATGTAAGTTTCTTCCCCCTATGTTACATGTCTAATATGTCACATTTTGTATTTGACTATAAATACACTCGATAATTTATATATTTTGTATTTCTAGGTTACTTATGTTTAATGAACCACCGTGTATGTGTTATCCCTTCACTGTGCGTTTCCAACTTTTGTGTTGTGCCTTCAGGGACCGCTTGCATTCTATAAAGGCTTTATACCAAACTTCGGTCGTCTAGGCTCATGGAATGTGATAATGTTTTTAACTCTAGAGCAGGTAAAGACTTGTATGCTTGCTTGCTTTTAGGTTGGCTTAAGATTTATATTACTTGAGATTTTTATCTTTTCTTACTACATAATCTCTTTCAAGAATTTTGATTGATAAAATGTTGTGTATGGCAGGCTAAGAAGTTTGTTAGAGATTTAGAGTCATCTGGAAGATAAAGAGTATGGTTTCTCAAAACAGAAGTCATTACAGCGCAGCCACAATTCAATGTGATTTTTTTTGTTTTCCTTTAAATTGTTCGTGATAGTGAATAAAATAGCATAATTGTGAAAACTGAAATGCTATAACTACCAAAATTTGAGACCTCCATTGGTTGCCACATTGTTTCCCCCCGTCATAAGTACGGCAAGTTTTTCTTTTGTTTTTCATGTATGGCTAATTGAAGCATGTGTTCCATCTCAAGTACTTCGTATTATCTAAAATGCTCAAACGCAGAAAAAATTAAAGATTATATATAAAAAATCATGATTTGATAGATTAATTGAGTTTAATTGCTAATTGCCTATTTATAGGGTAGGTTTTTCGGCACCATGAAAGGTTAATAAGTAATTATGTGCATACTTGCCTAGCTAACAATAGGCTTATTGTTGGAAAACATCCATATCCCCTCTTTTGGATGATGAGGGAAACCCGCATCCATTACTCAAGAATTTATATTGCGTAAACTTTTCAAAGTCGAACTTGAAACGTTATGATTTATGACTATCAAATCAACATCCCATGATTCCCATCCAACTTGGTTGAAATTATCTCCATATATTTATACTTTTAAACTTTAGTAAATTAATGCCAATTTTTGTATTTTGTAATAATAATAATAATACGGAGTAATAATTTTCACTTTTAGAAAAAGCCAACCTAACTCAACTTTTTTGAGTCGAAACACAAATTATTTTAAAAATTATGAAAATAATTACATAATGTATCCTAAATGCAAGCATGTTATATAGCATTATAATACAAATGATTAGTATTAACTTACCAAGTCCAAATATAATTGTCACACTCGGGCCTCGGCCGTCAAATAAAACCTTAAGCGCAATTTTTCATGTCAAGATTACTATTAATTGGTTAAATTAACCTTATTTTTCTTTACTTATTTTCTTTAGTACCTTAACTAATTAAAATTGGGAATAGCGAGGGAGAAAAGGGAGCAGTGGAGCACCTTAATGCAATGCCAATGTTATTTTCTTTCCTTGTAAATTCAAGATTTTACAGTACCAGTACCACACCAGAAAAAAATCCAAAACACAGCATACACATTTATGCCGCACAATTATGGGACTCATGCTGAATGTTTTGCTTCAATCAAACTGTACTCTCTTTTTCTTTATCCCTTTTCTTTCTTTCCTTTTTTCTTTTTTATAAAAAGCTTAAATTGGAGGTGAGGGCTTAATTTCATGAACTCTCTCCTTTGCTTCCCTTATTTGCTTCTTCTGAAGTGCTGCTAACTACGGTTTTGACAGCAGGTGAGGAATCCATCAAGCTTGCAGCTATTGCAGCTTTCAAATCTTCATCATCTTCGTCTAGTAAGAGTTCTTGATCCCTATACTGGAATTCCATACCAGACAGCTGCTGCCTTTCACCAGGTCTGCTACCTGTTCTCCCACCCGGGTTGTAAGACTTTGTAATCCTCTCTGCATCTTCAGGCGTGAGCCACTGTCCATAACCGTTAGATGCTTCAGAGGAAGTGATTGGACAGTCCTTGGGAAAATTTCCCCTTACCAGAAAAATGCTCCAGCCAAAACCTTTCAAGGAGTCGAGATAAGCTGAAAGGTAAAACTTAGAAAGGTGTTCTGGGGCAGCGTAAAGACTATCAAAATTATACCACTCCCCGTTTACTTTCCGGATACAGAACCAATGGTCCTGCAAATGACAAATAAATGCATTTTCCAGTTCTGGGTCAATTTGAGCATGCTCAGCAACTGGGCTGTCAAGTGGAATGACTTGCAAATCCCAAACCTCCAAAGCCTTCTCCAAAACCTGCAAGTAGCTTCAATTCAATAAGATTAACTACTGAAGTAGGTATTATTAAATGAAGACTACTCACTTTTCCCAAATTTTGCTCAGTCAAAATGTAAAAACACCCAGGAGTAAACAACTAAACATAAACAACAGGAACAGCATCACATGCACGTACACATCAGTGAAGTTATAATTTGTTACAAAGGTTCAATTGAAGCAAGGCTGAGGGATAGATGTAATCACACCGACAGAACTTGACATGTACCAAAGGGTTATAGTAAGATATATCTCACCAGTTTTAAAGAAGATATCATCAGCACTAAATTCAGTGCAGTTAATGAATTGAGAGATCATTAATAAAGTGAAAGCCACTTCAACTTAAATGCTCAATAACTAGCTCAACAATAAAACAAAAAAGTATCATTTCACCAAATCAAATGAACAGATCGGCAATACAATTAACGTTCCACATCTTTAGTGGCAATGCAATGGAAGCCAACTAATGCTTATATACATGAAGCACTAGTAACCATGTTTAAGCCTAACATTACTTAAGAGCATTGGGTTCTTTACTAGACTAGATGATATCTACACATTCAGTTACCACAGGTCCAGAAACAATGAGAGTGCAGTGGAAACACTCCACAACTTTCTTGTTATTTTATCATTGTTACATAGTCAATGACACCACCACCACCACACTCTCCTCCAAAAAGGAAAGATATAGACTGTACAGGTTAGAAAGAAAAATATAAATATGAATAAAAGTCTCAGATCATGAAAGGCAATCAGAAAATTTTATACAGGGTCTCATATACATAAGCCATGACATTTTAGGGATAGAAATTTCCCAGGAAACACAGTGGATAATGTAAATCCACACTGGTATCTGCCAAAAGTAAAAAAGGAGGGCACACCGCACACACAAGAGAAAAGCACCAGTGCATAAATCACCCATTTTTCAGAAACAAAATACATTGTTGTAAAAATCGCTAGACGCTCATTGGGCGTTTGTGGCACCCAACTAAAAAGGAAGCCTGGTTTTTTAGACTTATAGCAAGTATTCCTCCGACAACATACAAATGGTCAATAGCACATAAAAGACCTATTCTTCCCTTTGGCTTAGGGGTGCCTAGCACCTAGTCCGGAACTTGGGAGTCGGGCCTAGGCCAAGTTTTACAACACTGAGACAATCTTGTCTTTTTTTTGAAAACAGACAATCTTGTCTTTATTACCTAGTATTTAAGGAAATCCAACAATAGTTGCAATTGAATTAGAAGATCACTTAGCATGCAAAGTGATCTTCACTGTACAGACTTAGCAAACATATACTACCCCTACGAAATAATACAGTTTAAATCTTTTGTCCAGTATTAACTTTCCAATCATTCAAAATAAAGATTATACCAACATTTATTTATCCTCAACACATATATAGAACAGACAATTACTCGAATTGAAGCAAAACACACATACAAGTACCAGCGGCAGCCACAAAAGTTCAATCATTTTATAGGGGTGAATATAAAACCTAACAAAATCGAACTACTCATTCAAATATATCAGTGGCTGATATAAATATATACTAAAAGAGTGCGAAGACTGAGGGTAATAGAACCTGGATGCTGAAATCGCCGTCGAGGGAGACATTGTGAGACTCCTCCACGATGAAATCGCCGGTTCCAGCGCCTTGAAGCATCATCTGACGCTCCCTGCGATCAAGATCGGAGGCGAGGGCCGCCAAATCGAACTCCGAGAAGAACGGACCCTGCAACACAGTGTTCACGCAATGCACAGCGCAGAGCTTAGATTCCTGCACCTCGTGGTACAACATCCCACCATTGCTAGCTGTTGCCCCTTCCATTCCAATTTCTTCAATAAATTTAAACCCTAATTTCTGCGACTCTGTTTTATCTGTCTCCCTCTCTCTCTCTCTCTGTTCCTCTCTCTAAACTTCTGTCTGTATCAGTCTCTCTCTTCTCTGTCCTAACGACGAATTGACGATGCCTCGATGAAACAATTCAAGTGAGGATAAGATGGTCTCATCTATATTCCTTTTGGGCTGGATTACTAATGTATATGAATGGGCCTTGTGGGGATTGATGATTAAGGCGTGTAATATGTAATTATAATCAACTAGACACTAACTTTAGGAAATCCGCTAGAAGCTAAGTAATTTATAACACGTGGACTAATACCAACTAAACAAAATGTAATTAACACATATCTACAATTAGGGATGTCAAATGGGCCAACCCGTTGGACTTTGGACTAGCCCTACAGGGTTGGTGGACTTGTTGGCTTGGGCTAAAATAGTTTTTTATTTTATATTTTTTCTTTTTGAGTTGAGTTGGCCCTAACCCTAAACAACGGGTTGTTGGTTAATCCAACGGGCTAAATCACTAAACAAATTTTTTATTACAAATAGAGTAGGTTCATAACTATATATATATATATATATATATATATATATATATATAAACACACTGTACTGTACACACACACACTATATATATATATATATATATATATATATATATATACTACACACAGTGTGTGTTTATATATATATATAGTGTGTTTATATATACTACACACGCAGTGTGTGTGTACTGTGTGTGTAGTATATATATATATATATATATAGAGTGTGTGTGTGTGTACAGTGTGTGTGTATATATATATATAGTGCGTGTGTAGTGTGTGTGTGTATATACATATACATACATACATATATATATATATATATATATATATATATATATATATTTATATATAGTGTGTGTGTGTGTACAGTGTGTATATATATATAGTGTGTGTGTAGAATATATATTGTGTGTACAGTGTGTGTGTGTATATATATATATAGTGTGTGTGTGGTATATATATTGTGTGTATGTACAGTGTGTATATATATATAGTGTGTGTGTAGTATATATATTGTGTGTACAGTGTACAGTGTACAGTGTGTGTGTGTGTGTACAGTGTGTATATATATATATAGTGTGTGTGTAGTATATATATATATATATATATATATATATATATATATATATATATAGTGTGTGTGTGTGTGTGTACAGTCTGTGTGTAGTGTATAAAAGTATATTATTTCATACATACTATCAAATAATGTACCTTCAATATACAAATAATGTACAATTAATATATTAAAAATGTACCTTATATTCATGGTCCACACAAGTTGTATAGACTATGGTCCATCCAATAATCATTGAATATTACACGGGCCAGCTCAACAATCCATGAGTTGGCCCAACTCAATCCAATAACCCAATAGGGCCAACCCAATGAGCTTACTTTCTTATTGGATTGATCTTTTTGGATTTTAGCCCTGCAATTTTTAGGGCTTAATGGGCCAGCCCATTGGTTCAGGGCTAAATTGACATCCCTATCTACAATCTACAAATCTAATAAGAGCCAATAAAGTTAAGCTTTTAACCAGAATTAAAAAATATTAATGTAATTGTTCATTGAAATGAATGATTCATATTGTTTTGATTTTAGTATTTTTATTATTATTTGTCATATTTTACCATCTATTATATTATTTACTTTTTCTAAATATCATATTCCGTTAGTGTAAACTTTAGTAACAGAATATTCTATTAACTATTTATTATTCTTAACTTACTCATTGATTTTCATAAGGAAAGTCTTTGGTTCGAACCTCATCTCAATCAAAAGTTGCATAATTGTTAAACATATGCTATAAATATATGTTAGGGTGCATTTAAAAATAAAATATTAAATTTAACATTATTTTAGTCAATTAATTAGAATATAATCACGCATTGAATAAACGATACACCTAATTTACAGTATATATTTAACATATATGAGAAATTATGTCTATTATCATTGTCTTTTTGGGAAATGGTGATTTGATTTTGTTTTGAATGTGCACTATGCCAAGACACTAAAATTGTAGTGAAGCACATTAGGGGATTAGATCAAATTAATAATTTATTTATGGCAGAAGTAGCAACAAGAGGAAACATAGATCACGCCAATTAATAAGGGTTTGTGTTGCAAAAAATTATGCTTAGGGTACTATCCAATGATGGTTTTTTTCTCTAAAATTGATATTGCACTAGTTAATACAACATTTATGCAACAAGTCATAGTTATGCATTTTTGAAATATTTACTTTTATGAAAAAATTGATAATCTTACATTGATATACACCAAGATACCGAATGATACTTTGATAAATTTTGAAACACTAATTTAACAATACACATAGGGCATAGACTACTCGTGCAATGTGCGTGTTATAATTAGTAAACAATAATTAAACACGAAATAAAAGGAATATGGCTAAAGAGCTATGGAGCAGTGTATACTAGATGCTTCAACAACCTATGAGATTAAGATTATGGGAGAACAAATACATAGGAATTAAGTTGGAATGCACACAATAACTATAGCCTAAAAGCCACTTTCTAAACAAGATTGAGCATCAAGATTGATTATACAACCCTAACACAATCTCACAAACTAATTACTCATACATATTAAGTATAAAAATCATTATTAAAACACAAGAATAAAGCATAGATAGCATAGATGAGAGATATAGAAGTCAATAGAAACTTATCTATTAAATATGATATAAATCTTGAAATCCGAGTATTGATGCTTGATTACAAACTCCAAAATATGTTTGGGTAATTACCTATAAGGTCAAACTAACCTAAAAATGAGTAAAAGGTATATGAAAAATGTTAGGGTCCATTCAAGGGGCCATAACTAAATAGAAATGACACAAATCATTATTAAATAGTGACTAAGTGCCTAGGAACTATCGTTCCTTAGCTCATTAATGCCCTGGCAGAATGCAAATTAACTTGCAAATAGAATAATAGGGAATGAACGGATGAACAATTGTTCATCATGCCGTTCTTCATAGACAAAATTCATTCCTTGCTATTTTTAATCTGTTTAGCATCAGAATTGTGCTTGATAATCTTCATGAAAGCCCTTGGAGTTGGCTTTCCATAGAAGCAAAAATACTCAATTTAGGCATTTATATGTTTGTATATGATCAAAATATTGAGTAGTGATTGTGTTGTGCATGAATTTCAAACTTATTATGGTGTTCAATTTTTGTATTAATTTGCTTATATAATTAAGATCATTGAAAACACAATTCTTTAGTTCTTTTGTAAATATTTTAGCTATATTCTTAAATTCACTTTGGCTCCTATATATTGACTTCAATTTCATCAAAAATATCCAAGAAATCAATCATTTATACTCAAAGGTAAAGAATTATACATAAACAACCAACTTAAACAAATAACGACCATTTTGGACAAAATTGTAATAATTCACAAGCAAAATAAGATTAAATATAAAGTATAAATATGAACAATTATACACTTATATTTGTAGTCGATCGAATTATCATTGTAGATTTCGAATAGGCTCGTGAGCCTATTTAAGACCTACATGCATGTTATAGGCATATATATATATATATATATATATATATATATATATATATACACACACACACACACACATATATATATGGGCATGCTTTAATGCGAACGCTCACCTAAGAGACAAATAAGAATGATGAACAATTGTAATTTTAAAAAATGAAGCGGTTGCATTTTTGTATATAACTTCAAACTTTGGTGCAAGTTCAATTATTTATGAATATACCATCGCGTTTTTCTTAAAAATTAGTGTTTCTCATTCGTTAGATCTAGACACGTGAACGAATGTCATGCATTCTGAGTTCTCTCCTGAGTACATTGTTCTCACCTGAACAACCTCATTCATATATATATATATATATATATATATATATATATATATATATATATATATATATATATATATATGGTTCAGATAAGATTAGACTCCTAGGTAAAAAGTAAGAACTATCCTAATACGAATATATGATCGATCCATCCATTTGGGTATATCAACGATTGAGAGTTGTTGAATACTAAGAGGGAAAATGAATCAATTTTATAAATATTATAAACATGAAAATTTACAATAAGTATAAAATTGACTCATGTTTTGTTTTATTAAAACTATCGATCATTGATCAACTTTGATGGACGGCTGTGATTAATCTTAACTTTTACCAAATAATGTTGTTCTCATTTGAACTACTGATATATACCATTAACAGTGGTCCAACATATTTATACCGCAAGGACAATGCACACCATTTTTTGGGGGGTGAATGTTAATCTTTATTCCTAACTACACATAAACTCTTAACATAATACACATAAAATATTAACATAGTACATATAAACTCTTAACATAATATACATTAAAAAAAAAAAAACAATTGTAACATCGAGGTGCACCTCATGTGCACGTGAGGTGCAACTCTCGTGCCCAGGCTAACACGTGTATTGCACGTGCCAACGAGGGCGCGTAAATCAGTATAATTATTTTTTTTGTTTTTTTTTTTCAGCTTTTGATTTTATTTATTTTTCTTTTCTTTGAGTTACATTTTCTTATTCCTAATCACACTTACAAAATTTTTTCAAAAATCTTACTAAACATTCAACTATTGAGGATGCTAGGGTTTAAGAGACTTTTTTCTATAATTATATTACATATTAGGTTGAACCTTGAAATCATGTAATTCATTTACTCATCAATTTATATAGCAATCTAAGACGGAAACTAGGAAAGTGTATTAGTTATATATCCGAGAGGCTGGTTTTCAATATATATATATCGGAGAGGCTTCTCAACCGCCTCTGTCTTCTAAGTGCGGTGTTTAGGCGCATGGCGGACTCCGGTCGGGTTAAGGGGCCGTGGAGCAAGGAGGAGAACGATTTGCTGAAGAAGCTTGTGGAGCAGCACGGGGCGAGGAACTGGTTGTTGATAAGCGATTCGATTCCTGGGAGATCAGCGATGTCGTGTCGGACGCGGTGGTGCAATCAGTTGTCGCCGGAGGTGGAGCACCGCCTGTTCACGCCGGAGGAGGACGAGGTTATTGTGAAGGCGCACGCGGAGGTTGGGAATAAATGGGCGACAATTGCTCGAATGCTGAATGGACGAACCGATAACGCCATCAAAAACCACTGGAATTCGACCCTGAAGCGGAAGTACAACGAAGGAGGAGAGCCGCGGCCATGGCGGATTCTGAAGCGGGCGGACAGCGCCGACGTCACAGTGACGGCAGCGCCGCCGCCGCCGCCTGTATTACGAGTAAGTCGAGACAGTTCCTCCGAATCTGACATTAGCTATTCGGCCGCTGCGAAGAGTTTACGGATGGCTTTACCTCTTCGGGCGGTGGAGAAGGAGAACGATCCTTCGACCGTGTTGACTCTATCGCTGCCTGCGCCTGGAGCAAATGACGGCGTTTCTTCTTTCCAGCGCGATCAGCCGAGTTACCGCCGCGGTGACAGCACTGAGGCTGCGCCGGCGCCGGCGCCGGCGCCGGTGAAGTCAAAGAGTACTCTGACGTTGAGTCCTGAATTACTGTCGCTGATGCAGGAAATGATCAGAAAGGAAGTAGAAAATTATTACGCAGAAGTGAAACGCATAAAATAGCTTTCAGGAAAAACTTATAATTGGCCTTTGAATTCTGGAATTCAAATGGATTGTTTAATTTGGGTGCTGGAAATGAGTTAATTAATGAATGTGCAATTTTAACCTCTAAATTATTAATAAGTAATAGTTTTAATCCCTGGTTATTTAATGACAGCATAATAGTTAATTCATTTATGGTACCACTTTTATTAAGGTAAAATTCACGTTTGGTCTATACATGAAAAAATTATTTTGAATTGCACATGCATGCATCATCTCGTAATGTAGATATTGTTTTTGAATTGAAGCACTGCACGGGTGTTGCACATATGTTCTTGGGTACTTTTCCCTTTATTTAAGTTTGATTTGTTATATTTTTCCACAGGTTTTACTCATGGATGAGCCATAAATATTCTCTTATATTTCCTTGTGTGAGTAGTTTGTTTATAAGCTTGAATAATTATGATTGTATTATTTATATAGAAGTTCTATTTGTGAGTATTACAAATAAATTCGATCAATATAAGATTATTGAGTTAATGAATAATTTGGGTGTGTATTTATTAATGTTTGGTGTACAACATTCATTATTCAAGCCGCGGTTTGCATACACCTAATTTTTATCTATGAAAATGGAAGGTGTATCTTCATCTTCCACAATTAAGCAAAACCCATAGAAGAAAAAACTTAGAGATCATAGAATAATCTTTTTTTTTTTTTGACGCATCTGGTTAACTCAAAAGTCTCTTATATTTTCTTGAAATTGTCCTTGCCAAGAAAGCACATACATCAACTTCATGAAATTGTTCATGTGTAATATTTATCATTGTTTACACAAATGATAGTATAGTTTAAAGACATCGTGCTTTACCCAACAACTAGTAAATTAAAGTAAATATAGAACTAAATTTAGATGGCCAACTTGGTAATGTTATTTATTTAATTGGACAATCGGTGACTAAGTGATAATAATTTAGTAGGTGAGAAGCATGTGTTAGGAGAAAAGTAGGCGTTACAATCCGTGAATTGAGGATCATACATGCATGTGTTTTACCAACATCTAATTCATCGCATTGTTGTTGATCATATATGTAATTGTGGTAAACTTTATTTCGTATAAACCGGAAAATTTTAGAAAGAAATGAATTTTTCATACTGCCTTATCCTCTTATCGCTCGACAATTGAGTACTTTGACCAATTTCATAATAATTAAGTAGGTGAGAAACATGAGTTAGGTGAAAAGTATGCGTTACATACGTGAATTAATGAGCAAACCTCTGATCCATTGCATTGCTGTTGATCATATTTGTAATTGTGGTCAACTTTATTTCATATAAACCGGAAAATTTTAGAAAGAAACAGATTTTTCATACTGCATTATCCTCTTATCGCTAGACAATTGAGTACTTTGACCAATTTCATAATAATTAAGTAGGTGAGAAGCATGAGTTAGGTGAAAAGTATGCGTTACATACGTGAATTAATGAACATACACGTGTCTTGCAAACCTCTGATTCATTGCATTGCTGTTGATTATATCTGTAATTATGGTCAACTTTATTTCGTATAAACCGGAAGACTCTAGAAAGAAACGCATGTGTTTAGATGGTCTTATCCTCTTATCGCTAGACAATTGAATACTTTAATTAATTTCATAATAATTTAGTAAGTGAGAAGCATGAATTAGGTGAAAAGTATGCGTTACACTTCGTGAATTAAGGAACATACATGTGTCGTCCTGCAAACCTCTGATTCATTGTATTGATGTTGATCATATCTGTATTCCACGTCATGTCGGCAACTTTATTTCTTATAAACAAGAAAACTTTAAAAAGAAAATAATTTTTTCGCACCGTCTTATCCTTTTATAGCTGGACAATTGAGTACTTTGACCAATTTGCTATTTTAACATTCGGATTAAGAAAGATAAAAATTGCATCCGTTACATTTTCATTACACAAATCTTGTGCTAATCCAAATTATATTATAAATACTCGCGTTAAGTACCACTTTCGAATCCACAAAATTTCAAGAATCGTGAAATTTACGAAATTAGCTAAAAAGACCAACATGTTGCCGGCTTACGGGGCAATCGTCATACGTAGTTGGGAGTAGGACAGTGGTAATTTAGTAGTTGCAATAGCCAATATGCAATTACTTTCCATCTCGTCTTTCCCTTCTTCACTGATTTGAGAAAGCGCTCTGAATCATACCATCTCTCCTCGCTTCTCTCCAACGAATACACGTACAGAAACATCATGTAATTTCCTATTTATATATATTTTTCGTGTTAATTTCTTTATTTTTTCTCTGTACTTGGTCGGTCTTCGTCATGGATTGAGCTACCGCAACGAATCTGTGGGATCTCTGCGAGTTTCTCTCTCTATCTACAACAACGGAGCTTTGTTTTCTCTATCTAGGGTTTTGAAGTTGGATTTCTGCTCTGAAAGAATCTTCCTTTCGCCTTAATTGTAGGGCTTTTGAGGTGGCTCTGGAATAAAGATAATCCTTGTCTGTGGGGGTTCGGGTGTTTCAGTGACATTTTGCAATTCGCAAGGTTTGAAGCTTTTTTCTTTCATTTCCTTTGCCTTTTGGTGATTAATTTGTGCTCATTTTTTTTTTTTCGCGGTTGTCTTCTGCCTTTTGTTTACTTACTTTTACACTGATTTTTGGCTGGTTCCAAACATTTTGGAGCATGAAATTGTATGTTGACGTTCAAATTTGATGTTACCTTAGGCTTTAATGATTTGAAATGGAGGAAAGCTGAATGTGGTTGGGCGGGTTATCATGTAAACGTTCAGGCCTTTAAGAATTGAAACTCAGTAAAACTGACAAGAAATTGGTTTTCTTTTTCATGGGGAGGCTAGGTTTTACCATTCTTTGTTGGTATTTAGGATTTGAAAGAAGTTGATAGCATATAAAGTTGAATGAAGGTCAGTGTTTATTTTCACTATGTCTTTCCATGGATATTAACCGTGTATAATTATGTAGTGACTGGTAAAATAGTCTGCAGTCTGGATTCAGGTAGGCTACATCAGATTTTACATGCTTCTAATAGTCAAGACATTGTATACTAAAGTTATCGGAATGTTATTTGTAAACGCAGTTTAGAGAACTCACTACTCTGGTCACTTGGATGATTAGACATAGATTTTCTAGACATTTATTGCATTACGATGGAAAATTGTTTAGAGTTCCCTATCAAAGACTTTAGTGATTTAATGCTATCAATTAATTGTGTATGACTGTTCCACAGTTGGCAAGTGTACAGAAAAAGAAGAGAGAAGTTAATGCAATTATTAATTACAACCTAGTGGGCTTAATGTAGTGATTACACATGATTTGTGATTTCTTTGTCGCTTTAGCAATGAAGTGATTGGGATTGAGTTTCTGACACTTTGCTATGGCAAAGTGCTGGATTATAAGAAAGAGATGCAAATCTTTTACTTTTTCTGAAGTGGTTGAAGTGAGAAGCGATCTGAAAAAGCATGCATTTGTATATAAGGTGAAGTCAATAGGAGTGGCGTATTGGATTGTAAGAAAGTGGTGCTAAGCTTTCACTTTTTCCAAAGTGGTCGAAGTGAGAAGTGATTTGAAAAGTGTGCATTTGTATTTAAGGCAAAGTAAACAGGTAAATGTAGGAAACTTAGGGCTAAAATAAGCAAACCTTGTATGTCTCATATTCTCATCTTTTCTCCATCTCACACATAACCAGTCTTCAATCGTTGGGGGCTTGGATGACCTCAGCAACTACTAGTCTAGTGTACACACCTTCCTTCATTTTCTGCCACCTTTGACCCCTTTCTCTATTTTCTTTGTTATCTTTTTTTTTTTTTTTTCTCCGATTTATACTTATTCTCCTGTCTTGTTGCCAGCCTTTCTTTTTTTGGTCTTCAATGTGATTTTTTACTTGAAGATTTGTTAGAGGCTTTGTGTCAGTAGAGAGTTATCTCTCCGTGGGCATAGAGTTATACTAACTCTCTATGGCTTTTTCAAGTGCAGACTCTGCTACTCTAGACATGTTACAAAATGTTATTTTTAATTTTGCAGTTATTTAAATAAATCATAATTCATAATAAATGTTTGTAATGAAAAAAGTTGTGAAGGTCAAAAGGGATGATGAGAAAGAAGATGAAGACAATGTAGTTCATTCTAATCATTTGTCTAATGAAGAAACTGAAAGTCCTTCGTTTCAAGATGAATAATGGATGATGATGAATATTGATAATTGATGAGTCATTGAATAATATGGCAATATGATTATTGTTATTTTTATTATGTCAATCGTAGTATTTTGTAATTGTATAAAGTACACCTTTGTATAAATTTACACGATTGTAAGCTTAAAGGTATTAAATATAGTAATAGGAGTTGCATTATCAACCATTTAGATACCATTGTAAATCATATAATTTGATTTTTTGATTTTGTATTGATTTGGGTGAGAAAGCATCATTTCACTTTGCACTTTAGAGTGATCCAAGCTTTGTCTCTCTCTCTTTTTTTGTTTTGTTTTGTTTTGTTGTTTTGTTTTGTTTTTTGTTTTTTGTTTTTTGTTTTTTTGTTTTTTGTTTTTTTTTTTGTTTTTTTTTTTTTTGGTTTTTTGTGTTTTTTGCTTTTAAAAAGCTTGGTGTCCATATGAATCCTATCTTTTGTTCTTGAAATCTTGTTTAAAGGAGCAATTATTAGACATACATTTTATTTCCTTGGACATTTTCAATGCAATTTTATTTATATATATATATATATATTTATTTATTCTTTCTGCAGTTGAGGATTTAGTTAGCTGGCTTCTTGTTTGTAAACCTCAAAACATTATGAATCTGAGCTGCTTTTGATTCTTATATTGTTTGGTTTAGGTAATAGCCCTTTGGAAATTCTGTCAGAAGTGTAATTAATTTCTTAGTGGCTGCTAGGCATATGTTTTGTTCATTTCTGGTACATGTTCAATGATTGCCAGCATGGATTTAAATGCATCACCGCAACCGGAGGATGATGATGAGATCTTTGGACATCAATT